TAACCACGATAGAAAGTCCAGCTCTACTCGTGCAGATGGGCGAAGCAGAGCAACAACGCACAACAACAACCATATCAGGCTGAACTGTTCAGAGAAAGATAAAGGGGCGACTTCACCACCAACGCAGGCGAGTAAGTAAGCAGGGTGCTGTTTATTTCTCACAGCAGGTTTACAAATGATCTGCATGGTTCTCTTCTCATTTGCCAACTTTCCTGTTTGTTTGTGTGTCTGTAGGGATGCAGCTCTTTGCTCTGTACAACCACACAGAGGAGCTGAACACCTCTCTGAGGTTCTATTCACTCAGGGTGCCACTGCGAGTACAAAAGGACGCAGGACTAATCACAGAAGTCGACGCTCACTGGCTTGACCACATGACTCAGCATTTCACGAGTGGAGCGCGCCTCATCGATGGGTTTTTCCACCTTGTCAGTGATAACGGTATGCTCTGTAGCCACAGCAATGTGTTATTGTATTACATTGTGTTGTCATGTATTATAGGTGATTATAATTTTGGAGCCACTTACCCCCTACTGTCATTCAAAGAAAACAGTTAGAGCATGCAAAATAAACAAGAGGAGATTGATGTACATACATGAATGAATGCAACTTAATCTAGGCAGTACACAGCCGCACCAGAAGCTGCCACAGCAAATACAATACTTGCATCCTCACAGAATAGCTCCGAATAGAGTATTATTGGGTTTTGTGACCACAGATTGTATAAAAAAAGACAGATATAGATTTCATTTCTGAAAAGTAAAGCTGAATGAATGAATGAAATGACTTAAACCTGCATTCTTTGTAATGGCCAGCAGGGGGCGAGTCCTCTGGTATCAAAGAGAAGTCAGACTGTGTAGAAATCTAAGAGAAATTGACTCTAATCTCCTTTGATTTGTTTACTAAATTTTCCTAATGTGGTTTTGGTCTTAATCACTACTTTCAAGTCTCAGTCAGTACTGCATGAGGTTCATTTTAGAAAATTGTCATCCCATTTAGAGTAAAATAGACCGTAAAGCTGGATATGTTTTAGGGCGGAGCTACCTTGATTGATTTTGCTATTGCATGGGCATATGGGTGTCCTCAAGTTCTCATTCACATCCAGTCATTGCTCATCAAAAGGTCAAGATGGGGACATCCATATTCCAAATTTGAGCTTTTAAAATGGTCGTCCACAAACCTGTGGGTGACGTCATGGTGACTACAGTCGGTGTGCGATGCACCTAATATGATCGCTCCCAATCTTTTCTAACTCCTGTAAATTATGGTTTGCACCTAAAGGAGTGTCAAAGTTGACAATGAATTCTGTGTGAAAGCACAGTTCATATTCGTTTACCTTCCGGCAGTAAATCCACAGGTGGTGGCAATTCCATTTAAATGCACTCACTTCCAGTTCTTTTAAAGTATATGCTTAAATTAACCCTTCATAAGGTTGTTATAACCCCTTATAAGGTTATTATAACTAATGTTTCAGCAGTTAACAGTTGCCTGGTTGAACATCAAGTAGATCCAAAGCAAACAACAATCATTTATCTAGTTTCTGTCCACCTGGCAAATGTAAGTCTGCTCCTTTTAGCTCTGCTTTGGTCTCCACCAATACCTGAGGGAAATATCTGACTCTTTAGCTGCTAAATGCTCTTCAGTGTTTACCAGATAGTTTCTAACTTTGTCTGTCTCCTGTCTGGTGCTGGATCTATAATGCTCTGAGGATTAGTCAGAGCTTTTCCTGCAAAACAGGAAACCAGGTTTATGAGAAGAGTGAGACTGAACCCGACAGTAAAGTTGCAGGCCATAAAACCTAAATTAGCCTAAAAGAAGCAACAACAATGTTCCATAAAGTTAAGGGGAACTTGGGCAGTTGGGTGATAGTCTTCTTTTCCTTTTACATTACACAGTCATTTAATCTGCTGTTAATGTAAAAAAAATATAGATTATTACAGCTTTAAAGTAAAGTTTCTTATGTCCCAGCTTTAACCTGAGAATTTTCACTGCTTGAGTGGTGCCAGTGTCTGACAAGATGAAAAAGCTGCTCAGGCTGTAGATCCCTGCTCCGCTGCTGGGTGATGGATGACATGCATGGTGTTATGTGCCGAAAGTCCGCGGCTTACACCATAAGTCACTGGAATAAGCAGGCTTAAGTCAAAGGGAACGGGGAGGCAGTAGTGAGAGATTGAAGAATGGAGATTAGTTTTTAGTTCCTGTTTGAATCACGTACATCCCTCTGTGTTTATCTGACTCTCTATCTGATTTCTCGACAGACAATGGGGTCTCATCTGTGGACAGCGTGTTCATCTTCCAGAGCTCTGCAGAGGAGACCACGAACACCTCCTACGATGCCATTGTGGTTGAGCAGTGGACCGTTGTGGATGTGAGTTTTTAATACTGTGCGAGAGATGTGCACTTTCAGAAATCCTTTTGACTGTAAGCTGTTTTCTGTCAAACATTGCGTAAGACTGGAGATGAATGGAAAGTAGTTGTGCGCTTGTGGATGAGCTTAAATTTGCCTACCTGCATGCATAATGTGTTTCCGTGTATGACTGCACACTTTTTTTGTGCGAGTGATTTGCCGTTTCTTTCATCTGCGCAGGGTGTTGTGGTGAAGGCAGACTACATCCCGTTGCTCCAGTCTTTAGCTCCATATGGATGGAGGCTGATGTGTGTGTTACCCACACCGATTGTCAAGACAAACAGGTACCAAATTACACCCAACACAATCGTACACTCGCATCTACCCAACCAGTCCTCTGCTTTTCCCCCCTCCATCTGCATACTTTTGATATCATCTAAACTCAGCAAGGACTAATTACTGCTTTGTTGATTTTAGAGTCATTATTCTTTTGTCTAACATGTAGCCTGTCTCGTTCTTTTTGGGATTACGACTGACAGTGTAGCTTAGGCTGCAGGACAGATGGTTTGAGATCTGACAAATCTTGATCATATGCTCATCCCCACATGAAACCGCTTTTGAAATCTGTCGAAGCTGCAAACAGACACGCCGTCGCTGAACCACTGTTGTCTTGTAACCTGTCACTTTACAAACCGCAGCGAGCGGGAACCGGATTTCAACACATGTAGCGATATGCAAGCGCATCATAGTAAAACGTAGCGGGTAACAATAGTAAAAGTGCTGCTCTTTTTCTTTGTGCAGTGATGGGAGTTTGTCGACAAAGCAAATCCTTTTTCTTCAAAGACCCATTTTGCAGCGCAAGAGAAAAGACTTCAAGGTTTGTCTCCCCTTTTTTTTTCTTTTTGCCATCTTTACAACAAATCTGTCACTCGTCTCTGTTGTGCCTTTAGGGCACGTGACTTTATGTCGCAGAAGGTGCCATTAAAAAGTTATGTTGCTAAATATGGGATGTACAGCGAATATAAACCTGCACACGCTAAGTCTAATAATAGGCAAATAGTTGGCCTCAAACTGTACAGGAAAAAGGCGTCAATGAAAGAAGCTTTGTTGTGGTTTGTCAGGTGTCTGGAGAGATAGAAAGAAAAAGACACGACACAAAGCGCAAAACTGTCTCAAAGACATCTATTTGATTTCAGATGCTGAACCTCAGGGGTCGCAGCAAGGAAAAGAAAAATTCTGCCGGTGAAATGCTGGAGGAGAGAGAGAACAGGTCCCCAGTGGTGGAGACGGAGATGGACATGTTGGAAAGAAACACAAAAGAGGAGGAAGAGACGGAAGGGAGGAAGAGCAGGGACAGCGGAAGAGCGAACCTTCAGAAAGGTGGAGAGGAGAGGGAAGAGGATCCTCAGCATCAAAAGGGCTTCTTGTTCCTATCAGACAGCAGGGTTTCTGTTGAAGACCTGGAAGAGGAAACTGACATTGACAGGATCCCACTGTCCAAGCAGGAGAAGTCGGTGAGATGGACAGATTTCTGTCAGGGAGATGATGGAGGGGTCAAGGAGGAGGTGAGGACGGAAGAGCGGATCAAGCAGCAGCTGTTTTCTGGTGTCTGTTGACACATTTGGCAGAAAGCAGGCAAAAGGAGCTGAAACCTGGTTGGCTGGTTGAAAAAAAAAATCAAATAGCGTTCAACTTTTTGTTGACTTGCATTTTTAGTTCCTCTGTGGACAACTGATATGTAGTCAGGCATATACTGTATCTATATTGCGTTCTGTTGCTAACGCTTCTATGTGTCTTTATATGAAATGAAATGAGACTGTACAAGGCTATACAGTAGAGCTAGTCTCCAGTCCAAGCCTTAAGTATTATTTTCTTTCACACTGTTGTATTTTACTACTTTCTTGTAATAGGACTGGGAGTTTTAATTTCACTGGGCTCACTGTATTTTTATATGTAAAGAATATAATTTAAGATAAAAACGAGAGGTAGAAAAAAAAGCAAGTATGTAGTACACTGCATTAAAGCCTGAACTGACACGTAGGTGTTGGCCGATTTACTGATGTCAGGTCATGTGACAGCCGAAGAGTAACAAGAAAGCAGCGATGTCAAAGGTGTTTGAGGTGATTTGGAAAATGTCTTGATTCCAGTTTTCTAGTAATTTGTCCACCACAGGGATCTTATTTTTAAATTCCAGACGGTTTTGCTTGGTCACAGTTTTACATAATTTATTGACCATCTGTTAAAAGAGTAGCAGCAGATGCATAATTATCAGTTCCTTCAAATTCTTAAACCAATGAGTGTTAAAAGTGTAGCATGGGTCAGGCTGTAAACTGCACTGAAGTATTATTATGAAGTAATTTATAAATGGAAATTTACATTGCTGGGAGCTTTACAAGTATTTCACCTTCACTGTAATGGGACAGTATTAGTAGTTTTAAAGATATCTCAAAGCTTGGCCCCATCAGATCCACCGTCTTCTTGGACGCTGGTGAGAAAATTCATTTTTTGTAATTTGGTTGAACTGACCCCAGAAAACGTGTAATTTAGAAATCAGCTATTTATTCCTTATTTGCTGGACCACCTGTGATGTGTATAAGTAGTGTAACATGTAGGTCTTAATATAAAAAAGGAGGTCAATAAAGTGTTTAAAAAAAGATTGACTCAATTCTCTTTATTACATTCGAACCTCGCGTTACAGTCAAACAGTTTTCCTCACACGAGGAAGAAATGCAGAAACAACTCAAGAATGAGTCTCAACATCACTACCCCCACTGAGATGACGACAAGAAGCTTGCAACCATCTCCAAGGGATGTTCAGTGAACCAAGCCAATGAGAGACCACCTGGAGGTTCCATTACGGGGCACCGTGGGATACTCACTCTACCCCGGGATGAGAAACAGTTTATGGGTATGTGGACGTGTTTGATTGCAGCAGAGAGTGTATAGGAGATAGGAAATGTGTATGTGTGGAACGGTGTGAATGTGTACCATTTATACACAAGAAGGGGGAGGGGGCAGGGAAGTTGCAGATGTCTTTCCGTTTATCATGCTGGCCAATATGTGGGAGACTCTAAAAATATGCTCAGTGGTGTGAAGTTGAGGAGTGAAAAAAAAAAAAAAAATCGCTCAGATGTAACTCAGTCGAGCCTTTCAGCCAAACTATCTCAAATTTCTTCAGCTCTGCAAATAAAGAGTTATGTTACTGAGTATAACACTTCAAAAAACAACTTTTACCAAACCAACAGAGGTATTTTGTTAGAAGAAAATTCATAAATATCTAACCAGAGTGTAAAATAACAGACCGCTATTGTTTGCAGTGAACATCTGTGTCTTAAGCAATAGCTTCACAGTTTGTGAAATAAAGATATTTGCTTTCTCGTTGAGAGTGGCGTGAGCAGATCCATACCATGCTGCCACCCTTCTACTATAATATGTGGCTAAAACAAGCAGCTGGTTACCTTTGCCACAGACACGGAAAGCATGAATAGGCCTGTCACAGAGGATACACGGCATGTAAAGTTCTAAACTCTCCAGAATTCTCGTGCTATATCTGCCCACTGAGCTCAGCACACCACAGTAGGTTTGCATCATCCATACAAAAAACAGTGTAAAGGATCAAAAGTTTTACGGACGGTTATGTGCTGGACGGTTTTTCATCCAGGTTATTTTAACATTTCATTAATAGACTGGATATGTATTGCAGATACCCATAATTCAGTTCTCCCTTTTCAAAAAGAACATTTCAGACTCTGTAATTCTTCCTAATCATAATATAATTACAGATATCTAGAATTAAAAGTTCTGACTGAGCGAAATGCTGTTGCAGATACCTGCAGTTATGTCAGAAGCTACTGGAAGTTGGAGGCAAGTCAAGCTTGCTTTTCAGACGTACTCTAACAGCACAAACATTTTACCGCCGTGTCAGACAAGCCTTCTTTTTCATTTTGATCACAAGTCTTGAATAAACAAACTCTTCCTTCTTCACCACAAACTGATGAGTTATTTGTATTTCATAGCCCTTTTCTAATGATCTAATCCAGCTGCCTTTCCTGCTGCTAACATTCAAATGCTTTGTTGGTCCAATCAATATCCAGTGAGAAGTCAAACTGAGCTACAGATATCTCCATCATTTTGACTAGTCAGGACTACGCTACAGATATTTAGAACATAATTTCAGATTATTAACTGTAATTCTAACTAGTCAAAAAGACGTTGATCTTTGTCATTCTAATTCTGGATAATCAAACTCGGCAAAACGTTAAATCGGCTTGCCATACCGCATAACTCTTCGTAGAGCAGAATAAATCATTTTTTAAAAAAAATTCCTATTTCCTAAACTGTCAAACTATTGCTTTAAGACACATTTGCATAGAGTTTGATGCAAATTACGCTAAGTATATACTGGCTGGAAATGTTAATAGATTTGAAGTTATGCAGCATGTGCATCACAGAGTATCCAATATACACAAGAAGAGGGCAAAGATGTTGCAGATGTCTTCCTCTTTGTATTATAAGAAATAAAATTAATCTCTATTGTCTTTGTGAGTCAGCTGCTAGCTGAAGAGTGGGTGGTCCCAGCAGTCTATCACAGATCAGTCACAGGCTGCAGCAGCAGGGACCGGAGAATCAGTTTCCTCATCTATTCACTCATATTAATATCGTGATCAGTGGGAAATTTCAGTCACTTTCCACTCCTCCACGCCCCATATGATGACCACAAAGAGAGTACATGTGAGGAGGACAACCCTGTTGGTTTCTAGGAATCGTAGGAGGTTCTACCACCATTTCTCAAAGAGGATCCTGTCTTTCGGGAGTCCGAGGTCCATGAGGGTTTTTGAAATTGCTTCGATCATGGGCGGGGGTCCGCACAAGTAACATAAAGTCCTTTGTGGATCCACATGAGCCCGCAACTCCTCCTCTGTGATTCTCCCGCCTGAGGAGACACAATGAAAGTAAATCAATTAATCAACACTCAGTGCGGCGGCACCTATTACTCCTCAGTCTCCTACGTGGAGTTGTGATAGTGCCTGTTCTACATGATGACAGAGATAAATCAAAGACAGACTGTGGCAGAATGTGACAGTCGCTCAATCATCCCAGCTAAACAAAGAAAAGTGTATGTGTCTTATTTACGCTTGAGAAATGGCTGGAGGTGTGGGTCGACATCTGTGCTCTGCTGCGTGATGTGGAAGTCACAGGAGAACTTGTCAGGGAACTCCCGACACGCCTCAATGATAGAGCTCTGGGGAACACAAGAGGTGTGTTGGAACACATTTGAAATAGTCTTTCCTTGAGTAATTAAAACACATCTGCCAATAAATTCCACACATACATGTGGATACTGTTGTACACCGAGCAGAAGCATCATGCCAAGTCGTACCTTGAAGAGCAGCTCTTGGGTGTTCTTGGCACTGTAACAGAGGTGAGCAGAGCCGATGTTGTAGCCCCGACCACCAGAGGCTCGGTTGAGATGCAGCAGATCTGTCGTGTGCAGAAGAATAGAGTAGAGGGGATTGATTCCCACACCACCCGCCACCAACAGCAAATCCACGGAGGGGTCGGAGGGTGATGGGTCAAAGAAGAAGTCTCCACCGACACGCATGGCCACACTGGAGCCTACCGTACACTGAGAGGGAGGAGGGAGAAACGGCATAGAAAACAGTTAGAAGGAATTCTCAACAGATAACTCTCTCTGCTAAGCAGCTGAACTATCCCTTTTCTAAGACATGAACAATTAATTCAATGAAAAACAGAGTATCACTTCACTACATCTAAAACAAACCTCAGGAGACAGTGAACACTTTAGATCAGAATTCATACACACAACAAACCGATGCTATGGTACGGCTGAAAGCAATTTCACAACTTGCAAATGCCTTTTGAAGTCAAAAGGACCACTAAATACGCCTTCATCTGCGCGCACGTCCACATAATACACCAATGCACTCTTAATCTCCTGCGCTGGTCCCTACACTATTCCTTGAGCGCAATATCAAACAAAGGGATCATCAAATGATCCCAAAGCTGAGCGCTCCGAGTCTCAGAACGCTGGCATGCCACAAACACCACTTCGTCTAACTTATTTACACACGGCCTAGTAGCTCAAAGCTGTTTATTAAGGCGCATCATCAAACACAGAAGCTGCAAACAAATATGCAGAGAAAGGCAAGCCGGAGGGAAACATTGTTCATATTCAAACAACCACTCACACTAGTGGATTTAAAAAGAGAAAAAAAAACAGACACTTGAATAGCTGGTTCCTGGCAGATAAGTCCAATGTTATTTATTAAATATTTTGCACAAAAATCTGTGTATATTTTTATGACTCAGTTTTTGAGTCCTCTTATTTACCCTGCATAGATCTGCAAATGTATTTTTCTCCCTCTACAATATTCTCCTCTGCACAGTTGCATCAATTATTTCAGTTTTTTAGCTCTACTCCAGTAGTAAACACAGTCAACTTACTAACCCTTGACAGCAGCTACACATAATTTAAAACACATCATGGGTCATATGGTAAACAAAACCCGAGAAGGAAAATTATGAAAATAATAAGGATTATTTAAGCGGTTAACGCAGTGCTGAGAGGAAGTGTGTCGTAACTTTTTCTATGGAAAACGTTACTGGGGCTGCAAACACATTCACACAAATCAAACTGATTCTATCTATTATCTGACTTGCCAGATTGTGTCAGCGTGGTAATTTCTCTAACATCTTTGCCACTTCAATTAATCATTTTTCTTCAGTTGTTCTCTTTCTGCATCACTCTTCTCTCACCTTTTTCAACCTCTAACCCACACACACACCTGCAACTGCTCTTTACCAAGCCATGATATATTTATGTAGATTTTAGAGTCTAGCAAACTCTCACAGCAGCTTTCAACAATTTTCCTGTCAAACTGCACAAAGTATATTAGAACTGAACAGTTAGTCTGTGTAAAGGATTTGCAGAGATTTCTTCCAAACGCATTACACGTGTTAGAAAATAGCTGCTGAAAACATGTGAAAAGACGACCAACTACAAAGCGCTGAATTGTGGAGTGTGACTGTTGAAACTGTTTTTCATCATTGATGTCCTCAGGACATGTTGGGTGGGCCAGAAATCATGGCTTCATGACACTATAAAGATGTAAAAACTAGAGTGCATTAGCAACAGTGGTTGTCCTGCTTAATCATAAGTAACTATGTCTACTACAAGCTTTAGTTTCCCAGCTAGTTGCAAATGTATAATCCCTGGATGGCAGAATTTGCTCAAAATCCTAAAATAAGATTTTAAAAAAAGAGGTGGGTTGATTTATTAAAGACTGATGAGTTAAGGATCACTACCAATGATTGCCTCTGCAGTGACCATTTAACACCAGATAGTAAACTTTAACCAGAGACTACTGGGATTTACAGATAATGCACTACTGGTACAAGGAACTGAACAGACCATCTCCCTCCCCGGCCTTCATGGTCTCATCCCACTAGCATCTGGAGCCTTTTGTCTTCAGTGCATACCAGGCTTCCTTGCAAACTCAAGTCCATTTGCACAGTTAGTGCAGCTCGTTTGGGTGTGTGTGTTAGCTACTTGTTGTTTTTTTTAATTATTCAAATTTGGCTAGGAGGTGAATAACATTTTTCTGACGTGTGACAAACTTAGAAAGCTTTTTTTTTTTTTTACTGCATTACACAGACTTTAACTAATTTTAAGATAAATCATAAATCAGACCTACAACAAACACACAATTTAGTATTTCCCCCCCAAATCATTTCGCCCTTTTGTATATCATTACATTCTGAGAGTGACTACCCCACTCACCATGGTGTGGACCCAGTGTGCTGGGGGGTGTTTGGTGTATTTGACGGCCAGTTCAATGACTCCCTCCCGCTGCAGCAAACCCGGGCTGGAGCACATGGAGAAACCTCCCACCGTCTCCACGCCAGGGATGAAGAAATCCACCCTGCGCACACAACCAAGAACAAGATTGTCATGTTTAATTAATTAGACAAATAAACTTGATCCATGTATGGGCTAATATGTAGGTAAAAATGACCCAATGGCTACAAATGTATATTTCTGTTCTTCACCATTACTTGACAAGACTGACTCCAAACATGAAAGTGTTGTTTTGAAATAGAACTTTACTGTATTTTATTACAATAGCAGACACATGGTTGATAAGCCCTCGTTTTGTCAGAGCCATAGGCACAGATTTCACTAGTATTGTGCCATTTTTGCTCAAAATGTAGCTGGAAATGGAGTAGTTCACCATTCTTAAAGCCAGACAATAGTTTATTCAACAGTAAAAACACGCTGAACCGAGGGTCAAAGTGTGAATGAAGGTACGGTGTGGCTCTTTGACCTCAGTCAGAAAGGAAGCCTGTTCGAGAAACTAAGGAGAACAAAACTAAACCAGATGGAAAGTTGCCTGCTTGTTAGTTTATTCAAAGTGTAGCATCCCATTCTTACACCCTACATGGTCGTATCTGTCAATCAACAGGCAGGAGAGAGTAGCCGCGGAGGAAAAACAGCAATGCTTAACAGTTGGGCTAATGTTCCACCAACACAATGACCCACTGTTACACAAGAGAGAGACACCGACACCACAACCCTCACAGGCATCATAAATATGGATCCGCAGCGAAAACGCACACATATGTTCCAATTTACCTCCTCCTCATCTTCCTCCTCTCCCACCTGGAGACGAACAACTAAACAGTTATTTTTCTTAAAAAACACTGAAACTCAAAGATTTCCATCCATTTACATTCATTATCAGTCGCTGCAGGGCAACTGGCTGCCAGTTTTATTTCTCACCACCGCCCACCTACAGTATGGGCTCATGTACATGCTGCATGTGCACGCAACGCTAATTAACTCTGGCAACGCTGACTGGCAGACCAAAACTCCTCATCGAAGAGGTACTGAAGTTGCTATTGTGACTAGAAGAGCCACTTGAAGTTTCCTTCCCAGTGGTAAGAGTTAGTTAAAGACAGTCAAAACTGCCAACACACAAGCATCCAAAGTGCATTAAGCAGCTCCTTAAATACATTCATTCGGTTTATTCTTGGTCAACACAAGGCTCTAAATAATCAATGGGCCTTTTCTTTAGCTGAACATATCAATTAATGTGGAACTCTAAGTCACGTTTACTGTCAAAGTTTTATGGGAAATGAGCTCAGGACTGATGAATCTGACACAACTCTGCCACCGTGTGGTGACTACAGGTTCTGCAGGCAGTCTGAGAGGACTGACACATGCAGGTACACTTCTATGGCAGCTTTTAAAGATGAAGGAGGCTAAGCACGATTTTTTACGACCAGGATTAACTTTACTTATATAGCACTATTAAAAACAAGAGTTTACAAAATGCTCTGACAGATAAAGCACAAGCAGAAGGCAGAATTTCAACAGGAATTAAGACAATAAGGCCAAACAAAGCAAAGAAGATAAGAGTAAAACAAAAGTACAAACCACACATCAAATAAAAATACAGCAATTAAAACTTCAATGAGGTATAAAAAAGCTTATATAACCTAAAAGCAAGTTAATACAAATGTATTCTAAAAAGTGATTTAAAAGAATAAGAAAGAATCTGTGATCTCATCAGGCAGCTCCATCCAAAGCTGAGGGGCCCTGACGGCAAAAACACTCACATTTGGATTCATTTGGAGCCTTGACTCTGTAACAACCAGAAGGCCACCACCTGAGGATCTAAGGCTGCAAGCTGGCTCAAATGAAGTCAGCATTTCAGCCACGTAGCCTTGGGCCTGACTGTGACTAAAAGCGATCAGTAAACTCTTAAGATCAAATATACAAAATGAACAAGGAGCCAGTGAAGCTATTTTTATTACAGCTCAAAATCAGGAATACAACAACCCTATCAGCTGCTGAACTTATGATACCAAATGTCTTTTTTCCCACAATATCCTGCTCTGTCCAGTTGCGTCAATAACTCCAGTTTCTCTTCAGTTTTTTAGCTCTACTCCAGTAGTAAACATTATCAACTTACTCACTAACTCTTGACAACAGTTGCACATCATAGGTCATATGGTTAATAAAACCTTGGAAGGAAATTACAAAAATAATAAGGATTATTTAAGTGGTTAACTCAATGTTGAAAAGAAGCGTGTCGTAACTTTTTATGGAAAACATTAACACATGCAAACACATTCACACAAATCGAATAAATTGAACTTATGATACCAAACCAGATATATTTTTAGCTTGTTTATGAAAACCCCCGTACTTTATACTTCACATTTGAAGCAGTTTGAAAACATAGAAGGTGACAGTGTGTCCGACATTTTTACTTCACTTATTTTTCCACTTACTCAGAACGACATGCCTTTATGTGTTCATAAGGAATTTTGTTTAACTATAGCAATATAGCTGCATTGCTGCAACTGACCGCTAAATAATCTTTGTCATTTGCAACCAACTGCCAGGCTGCAGTCCCTGTTTTATACATTATGTAGCATGATTGTTACCTTTTGTGGTCAGTGGTGGTTAGAAATTAAGACTGAAATACATTATCAACGTGGATGTGAGTTCAATTTATGCAATGTGTTTGACTGTGTTCTTTAAATAGACACAAATGTTTAAAGAGTAGGTGAAAAGTCAACATGCGTCTACTCACCACTGTCCTGCTTTAAAGATGAAATCTGGATGGACGGCTATTCTCAGTCGTTTCACTGTGTCTGACTCATCTATGATTCCACATACTTCAGCTGGATACAGAGTCTGCATGAAAGAAGCCAGTAGAACACACACCACAGACAGAGGTGAGTTTAGAGAGGGTTAATAATCTCAGGACAGACCGCTTCATTTCATGACAGAGAGGCACAGTCAACAGATACAGTCAAGGTGAACCTATTCAAAATATAAACCTACATTTTGTCTGGAGTTACTCGCTGTCCTCTCTAGGTGGTCAATTTGTCTTTTGGAAGACATGTTCCTTCTGGAAAAAGAGAGAGAGAGACAGCTTAGTCACTTGCCTTGTATGGCAAACACACTCTTATGCAGTCAGTAAAAAGCAACACAGCAGCTTTTATGCGGCAAGAAAATTCTAAAAAAAAAAAAAAAAGGGCAAGTGGAGTTTGCCCTCATTGTCAACAAGGAACAATAAACTTCTTAAAGGGCCAGTTCACGCAAATTACAAACCAACATTTTCTAAGTGATCCTTGTCTTATCCAAGTTTTGTGTGTTTAAATTTTAATGTTTGGGCTCTAACACGTCTTCTGCTTCTGCTTCTGATGGAGATAAAAACAATTACATTTGTGTTGAAATGCAGATGGGAAAAAATGCATTGTATTATGGGGATAATAAAAGCTGCAGCAGATGATCATCAGTGAATAAAACCTCAACAATCTCTATGTTGTTTAACAAAAAAAAAGAAACCTATTTTGGTATGGCAAAACAGGAAACTTCATTGGTCTCTCACTGGGGTAAACAATAAGTAAACACGACAAAACACATAAAAGTTGAATAAAAATAAAGATAACATTGGACTATGTAAACCTGTACCCAGATATGGCATGGTGGATAATTGTACCCAAATTGTAGGACACACAGGCTGTGTACACACAGACATAATGAGAAAATCACTGTTACATAATGTTATTGCACTTGTGGAGCTATAAAGACACCAGTGTTACATCATGACAGCGTTACATTATGATCTATTGGGTAAAACACAGGAAGGAGATAGAACTGAGCTACCAACAAGTGTTTTCCTAAAAAATATCAAAATATAATTGACTCAGGACTGAGAGGTCAGGACAGAAGACCACAATGATCTCAAACGGTACAACCAGAGGAAACCCACCTTATGGAAGAGCTGTGGCCCAGCAGCCGGCAGCAGAGCAGACCGGCGGCCGGACTCTGCAGGCTGAAGCTCCGGGCAGCGGCGGACAAAAAACAGGGGACGCTCATCGCGACCGGGGTTCCTGTGAGAACAGAGAGGAGGACATCTGGGATCAGCTGTCACAACTGAAAACAACCACATAGCTGTCGTCACATACTGACAGTGCATACATCCACCTTTCTCGACTGATAAGGCTGTAGTTTCAGTAGCGGAGCCCCTCAACGCTGCGGTTTACCAAAAACATCACCTCTCTGGAATAATCTAGTGTACTATTCATGTCAGGTAAATGCTTACTACCTACACCAGAAAACATCCCCCCGGAAGCTCAGTATCACTGATAATACTAACTACTGCCCGCCGTATTGTCTTTTAAAGGACGAGGATGGATAAAGTAAAGGCGGACTGATCCTAAAACATTACATACCAACCAAAAAGCAGCGCTGTGTATAATTATTAGTATTTTAAAAGGAGTCTGGCTTGACCTCCTCCGTCACGCGGCTGACAGGAGGGTTAGCATTCCAGCTAATGCTGCTAGCTTGTAAAAGCCGGCCCGCTGTTTTTGTCTGACAGAGACACAACACTAGTTATTTTTCTTACCGAGAAAAGACGTCACTCTTATTAGTCCTCAAACGCTCTTCATATTTCACTCCAGTACCTTCGGGATAACCTTGGTCATGATATGATTACATGACGCTTCAGATGTCTTCTTCTTCGTCGAAGTTATGCTGCAGCCGGTGACTTCTTCGGCGCCTTGATGCAGTTGGTTGCAACAGCGCCCTCTACCTGACGACGGCCGCCCAGCACTCCGGCCGGAGCAGACTCCATTCAGTTTCCTGCTTCAAATCATAGACTGTACATATTTCTTATACAGTCTATGCTTTAAATACATTCTTTAAATACCCCAAAACCAATTATTTATCCATCATATGTTATCAGATGTGCCCAAAGTAGGACATCTCATAGAAAAGAAAATTCATAAACGCTCAAATACTTTTTACTGTAAATGAAAATATTGTTAGGAGTAATTTGTCAGGACTTGGGATTTTAAAATTCTTCACCAAAGTTTGTATGTTTATGTGTAACACTTCATAACATCTGTACAAGTTACATAATTAAGTAATGCTTAACTAATGCATGACTCATGAGGATCTGATACATGAATTAAAGCAGGATCATCATTAATTCCTATTGCTCATCATTAACAATAATCATCATTATCAATAACATTATTATCATAATCATCATTATCAATAATAATTCATCTTTATTTATAGGGCACGTTTCAAAAATCCAACCTACAAAGTGCTTCACAAGGCAGCAAAGCAAAACAGACGAGTCATGAAATCATCAGAATTTAATAGACAGAAAAAAACGTAAGATGATGTATGAAAAAAACAACACAATCGGAGAAAACTAATATTGAAAGAAAAATTAAAGATAGTTAGAAGGAAATTAAAATTCTAATAAATTCATGCAATCAAAGCTTATTAAACTGTTTTAAGAAGATCTCTGCCTTAAGGCTCTCAAAATGCATATCACTGAATTGGGTACTAAAAGGTCAGAAATATAGTCAGACGAGAAGCCATGAAGAACCTTAAAAGTAGTGTATTGTATAAATGTGTGAATTAGTTGTCCAAATTGGCTGGATTTCTGTTAAATAAAACTTTACGTCAGACCCACACATTCACTCAGCCTCTAAAAAAGCCGACCACCTGCTCTCATTAAACGGTGAAGCAATTTTTTATTTTCTTTTATATCAAACTGGTGGTCACATGTAAACATTGACATATTAAACATAAACACAGCTACATAAACGAACCTTTATATGACTAAGATCCAGCTTACTGACTGCATGTCAAGTCATGTATGAAGCAATGATTTATTAAGTAACTAATCCCATACAGTCAGAGTAACCTGATCGTTTGTTAAAGGTGAGCAACAGGAAACCTGATACATCCTACAACAGTTCACATGTTTGTCATGCATTAGTCAGTTCAGCATTACTTTACTACATGATTTGTACCAATTTTATAAAGCTGGTCTTTGTTCATGTGCACTGATATCTAGTAAAAAAAAAAAAAAAAAAAAAAAGCCAATTCTCTGAAAGTATTAACATTCAAAATGCAATAAAAATGCCTCATTATTTGATTTGTTGTGTTGCTTCAGAAAGAATGGCCTTCGACATTATTTGAAAACCAGCTGCCGACAGCAGTTTGCCTGTCAGCACAAATTCTAACAGCTATTGATGCACTGCATGTATTCATATTTCTGCAGGTTTGGTGCAATCTCATGGCTTCCATATTGATCATAGAGTATAACTTGTAATGCTAATTCTTCATTGCTTCATGAAATCATTGAAGTACGGGAGCAATAAGTCAATGAATGGATGCAACAACAAGCAGAGTTGGACACACTGACGCTGGGTAGTTGAACATGTTCACACCAGTAGGTGGCAGAAATAGGAAGAAAATTATATATGGCAATCATACCTATGAAAACAGTTCTTTTACCATTACTGTGTAAATCCAGGAGAAATTTTATTGACATTTACATTTCACATAAATGCTCTACTTCTGGAGAGCACAGTCACTTCTGCTGTGTCTTTTTTAATAAGGGTTATTTCTCCATGTGCTTATTTTACTTACTTGGACTTCGGTTGATAGGCAGTTTTATCAAATCAATATTTTTCTTCAAGTAATAAATGAAAGTACTAAAAAGTAGTTTCCTCATAAGCATCATTCATCTCGTCGTTTCAGTGTTGCTGTCTGAGATTTTCTGTTTTTTGTTCACTCAACACTTTCATCAAGGTCATCAGACCTCTCTGTGCACCACCAGCAGACACTACACAACAGACAGACCAAGTTGCTGACAAACTTTTTCACTGTTATGGCCCTGGACATAAGTGTAGCTTCATTCCAGGTTGTGTTTGTGTATCTGTGTGTGAGAGTTGTGTGCTCTGTGTGTCTAAGCTTTACATTCTGAAGCTTTATGAGTCTCTGTTGAGGGCTTCAGAGTCTCAAACACTGCAACAGCAGCAACAGATTTTGTCCTCTGCCTTCAACCCCTTTACCCTTACCTATTGTGTTACTTTTATAGCAGCATTAAAGCAGCAGAGATGTCTTTTTTTCATTTATATTTGGTTTGTTCTGTGGACTTAATTTTAATTTCTGCTTTATGTTTGTTTCCTCTGAACGAGTCAGGACTTTGTTTTATTTGTAATAGTGTCTTTAAATTATGCTGTCTCGTTTCACTGAAACCATTTCAGCTCTTTGTAGAAACATATGATTTCACTTAAATCTCAATCCAAAGTTTAAATTTTGATTCTGAGAGAGTAAGACATTTAAGTCCTGGCTGAGACCTTGTAAGCTGCTTTATCCAATCACATCTGCAGCCATATGATTCCATCAACATCAGCTGAAAAAGAACAAGGTGCTATACATTCTCTATTCACAGTTCATGTCTGTTTGCTTTCATCCTGAAATTCAACATGTCTGTCTATGTGAAAAGCTGCTACCTGGCCTCTAGTTCTCTGACATGCCTTGTGTTTTAACACTTTACAGCTGAGATGCCTTCATTTTTTTAAACATTAACACACCTTTGTATAAACGTCACCTACAGAGTGCTATCAATTTATTTTAATACTACGTGTCACCAAACCTGTGATGTCTCTCTGCGATGTACAAAACAGGTTATCCAGAAATCACTGTGGGCTCCATCTTGTGGTCAAAGCAGATTTCTAGGTTCCTCAGGATGCTACTTGGGGGAAATTTTAAAACTGTATCTGCCAAAACGTGCAGCCAGGACCTCCTAATACAGTCCACTGGGTTTATAAAGATGCAGTGACACAGTGTTTTGCTCTTTGTTATCACTGCGTCAACATCTTATGGTTTGGAATGATTTGTAGACTGGTGACGCTTTATTATGGCTATCTGTGAGTAAACTGCTGCATAAAAAAAGTTAGTGTAACTGTGCTCTGGGGTACTTTGTGAGACTCAGTTTTGGAAAATGTGACAGTGATTGTGCACTGAAGCTTTGCTGGGTCTAACATAAGCACTGAGTGTCGACATGCATGGCTGTCCCACTACTATCACCAAAAGACCCAACTTGGTGAAACTAATTTTGGAATCACGACACGCTTACTAAAATACTCTGGAATAGCAGCTATAGAAAACCTGGCAAAAGTAAGGCTTTTGTTTTCAGCATCTTTCAGTTACATGATAATACTTCAGCTATGCCATGGAATAAAATACACACTATCAGGAGCAATGGTTACTCAAACTTTGAAACTGCAAGAGGAGTTTTGCAAGATGAATTAGGTTTAGAAGCCTCACCAAAATGATTGGGACTGAGTACTTGACGCAGATGTTCGTGGTTGTGTTTCTTCACTTTTTCCATGGCCAACAAAATAATAAAACAATAATAGTTTTCCAAAGTCATCCGTGGGTTTGGATAAGACTATTTTTAAGGTTGGGTATGTGGCTGAAGGTCAGGAGTTTTGTAAACAATAGAAGGTCCTCGTAACCAAAATCTGTGTGCGTGCATAGCTGTGTGTCTGTGTGTTCTTTAGTTTGTATGTGTGTTATAAGAATAGCACTTAAGGGAAACACAGCAAATACAAAACAAATGACCGGTAACTGTTGGATTCCTTTCTGCATTCCTGAAGGTTTTTGTCTTTTGCGTCTGTAGCGCTAATCACAGGTGAAGCTTGGATGAGTTTCTTGCTGTTTTAACTCGCAGTTTTAAAGCGCTGAGAAAAAAATCAGTGTGATCCTCAATTTAAACACAATGCAACACATTCTATTCATAAGGACAGAATTCAGTCTTCTCCACCCAAGTGCTGTGGAAGACACAACAGTTTTGTTTTGTTGTTACAATTCAACACAAATAATCTTCAGTTGTGACCCAGGGCATATCTGTGAGCTAACCAGTGTTTTTAAAGGCCTATAAAAGTGCATGCTGTCTGAGAAGGCCACTAAACAACCTGCGTGTTTGTGTTGTTACTATCCTTAGATACAGTAGCCACTCACTTCCTTCGCTGGGTTTGTTCTTTTCCTAGCTGACTCTACCAGTCCAACTGGCTGCCTTTCCTGCTGTCTTTCCCATGCTTAGCACACCTCGGTTCAACCTGTTGTTCAATGAGATTTTCTGGTTTATCACTTCACAATGGCTGGCTCGACTCACATGCGTGATGCAAACACGTCGCCGTCATCACACGCAATAACACGAGCGTAGACGGGCACACGTAGTTTGAAGTGTGTGCATCTGACTCATTGTAAATACTTACGCATGGCTGAATGAGCTGGTGTGTTTGGTGTTTCCCAATTAGTCTCGACCTATGACCTCGCAAGCAGGAGCAACATCAACACGTTCATAGGCTACGTGTGCATCACACTCAGGTGTTTTAGATTTGAAAGTTACGAATAATTGCACCCTAATAAAAATAATAACACAACAATATAATTAGCAATTTTGCAATTACACTTTTTCCTCATATTTGTGGGCGGCTGTGGCTCAGGTGGTAGAGCGGGTTGTCCTCCAGTCGCAAAGTTGGTGATTCGATTCCCCGCTCCTTCACAGTCCAAGTGTCCTTGGGTAAGACACTGAACCCGAAGTTGCTCCCAATGGCAGGCAGCACCTTGCATGGAAGCTCTGTCGCCATTGGTGTATGAACGTGTGTGTGTGAATGGGTGAATGACAAACACATTGTAAAGCGCTTTGGACAAAAGCGCCATATAAGTGCAGACCACACCATTTTATGTTTCTGCAATAAACAGAAATAAAAAAATAAAACCATTTAACGTATGCGTTCATATTTGACAATCCAAAAAATGCATGTTATTTACCAGTATTTCAGAAAATCGAAACTGCCTTTTAAAACAACTGAAAGCAAACTCTCTGTGCATGACTGGTGCTCTCTCATACCTGTGTGTGTCTTTGTGTGTGTCTTTGTGTGTGTGTGTGTGTGTGTGTGTGTCGTCAAGCAGAAAAAAAGTTGATTCATATAGTTTGTTATGGCACAAAGTCAACCATTTCCCAGAGTGAAACAGATACAGACCCACACACAGGGAATACCTTATGCAATACCTGCCTTTGTTTCAATATCTCTCGACAGCATCACTTAGTTTTCTGCACACATTCTCCGCATGCTTTTCTGTTTCAATAGACTCTCTCTTTTCTTTTAACTTTTCCCCCCCGCAGAAATCAGTTTAGTGACAGGATAGTGTTCTCGGGGTAAAGAGGCTAATGTTTGTGGTGCAGATCTCTATCTAAAAAAAAAACAAAAACTAAAGCATGCATGGATGTTCTCTTTATCAGGTGGTGGCTGCAGTTAATGATCAGCTTTCAGTGAGACTACCTGCGGTGTTATGGAGAGGAAAGCAGATTAAGAGATATGGGACAGAGAGCTGGAGAGGCTGAGAAAAAGTAAGAGGCGATATAATGCAATAACATGATTGTGATGCTATTCAGACCAAACAAAGCGATGTCCATGGGAGCGAGCAGGAAAGTGGGAAACACCAGTCAAAAGAGGTTGAAATGGCAAAAATGGAAAAGATGAAATGCTTCCAGCTTCTCAAATATGAGGATTATTAATTTTCTGACAGACTAAACCAATTAAACAGTGAATTTATTTCATTTATAATGTGTATGTACGTATGTGTTTGCATAGAATGTAAGTAGCATGAACGCTTACCTGTCTGTGTGCACAGAAAGGATAGAATACAATGACAGGAAGGAGAAAGACGAAATACCTCCACGGAGTTTCGACTGGCACTGGAGATGGGAGGAGAGGGAGTCCCCCAGGTATGCAGGCCACCTGTTGCAGGGGAGAGAGAGAGAGAAAAGGCATTCCCGGTGCCACAGCAGCAACTTTCACCTGTATCTTTGGAGGAGGGAGACAAAAGGTATTCTTTGATTCCTCCCTCCTCTCTCCGTTTCTGTTTAAACTCAGACTGGGTCTTCCCTGTTGGCACCAGCCCACACAGAAACCACTTAGCCGGGGATTCCAGAGTCAGAGAAACTCATTTTATGTACATAACGTCATGTCTGAGAAATGAGATTTCCTAATCGCAAGGATCCAAAGACACCTTGAAACTCAACAGTCACACAAAAGATAGTTTAAGAATAAAAGAATACTCCATTTGCGATGAAGCCTATGATAATGTGAGTACTGTGACCTCAAGCATAAAGTAGTATCTGAAAATGGAGGAAAGATTAACTTTTTGCAAAACCTCCTCGGACATGTCTTGTACACGCTCACTGCACGTAATAAGAATTCAGTTATGTAGGAATGTTCATAGTGCTCTTTTAAATAAACTGTGGATCTTATCAGGATATTTTTGGCCTGTCACAGATGCATTGGTATTGGCGTGTATGTCGCCCCATATACACCACTATGAAAACTTTCTGTTACAAAATATAATAACAGAAAAAGATGCTTGGGTTAATTTAGAAACTGTGTCATCACGTGGTTTGTCCAGCAGAGCAGCTCTGTGTCCATTCTTTACAACAATCTTTATGTGTAGCACATGTAGCAGAACAGACAGTAGTGTGCGTCGAGCTTTGTCTTCGAGGTAAATTTCTTACTTGTGAAATACATGGCTGTAAAGTTCATAAATGATGACTGTATTTTCCCTTTTCAATAAATCTCTACCATATAAATACATGAAAGTACTCAATATATCAATATCATAATTTCTTCCTCCCCAAAACCCAGCATCAGCCAAGCTCTAGAAATGATCCACTTTAATGACTCTCACTCTGACACTGGTTTTCTAGTTTATGAGTTGGTAGCTGCCAATGGTTATAGATATATAGGTATAGATCTGTTATTGAGGATTAACAACACCATCTTGCACATTTGCTGTTGTTTAAAAAAACAAACCTTGAGCTATTGTTCGCCATCCTCCGGATTGACACACAGTTTGTCTTTGTGGTTCTTTGTTTGATCAGGGAAACCTTCAAATGGTTCGTTTGATCACTTATCTTTTGGAGATCTGCTGCAGGTCACCAGGAGGGCCAACATACAACTGGGGGAAAATAAGAACATAGATCCCTAACTTAGGTAAAAGTAATCACACAAGAGTGTAAAAATACTCCATTATCAGTAAAATAAATAAATAAATGAATAAAAAATCATGTCATACAATTAGAAACAGCACTGTTGCCTCGCAGCAAGAAGGTCACCGGTTCGCGCCCCGGTGGGGGCACCAGGATCTTTCTTTGGAGTTTGCATGTTCTCCCCGTGCAGCGTGGGTTCTCTCTGGGTTCTCCGGCTTCCTCCCACACAGTCCAAAAACATGTAGAGGTTAATTGGTGATTCTAAATTGTCTGTAGGTGTGAATGTGAGTGTGTTTGGTTGTCTGTCTCTAAGTGTAGCCCTGTGATAGACTGGTGACCTGTCCAGGGTGTCCCCTGCCTTCACCCTACGTCAGCTGGGATAGACTCCAGCCCCCCTGCGACCCTAGTGAGGATTAAGCGGTGTATAGATGATGGATGGATGGACAATTAGAAACTGCAGCACATTGCACAAACAACTTAAACTACTGTTCATGCAGAAATATGATACATATGTTGTCATATTGTTAAATATTGTTTTATTGGACTGCATTAAGTAGAATTTTACTTTTATATCTGGTCCAAGTTGAGCTAATTTCTCAGTAAATTACAATGTAGCTTGCATGACTGTTAACCCATAACATTAAATACACTAAAGCAAGTACAGCATCATTTTCCAAAATGTCATGGAGTAAAAGTATTAAGTACATGCATGCATAAAGAATAACTTGCCTGCTAAAGCGTCTCAGCGGTTCTTGAGTAAATGTACTCAAATAATGACGGATTGAGAAGTTATTAGTAAATTCCTGTAGATATAGCAACTTTTTTGAGATTGCAGAACTCATGATCCTTTATTGCTGTAATGACTTTACAACTTTAGGTTTGTAAGAGGAACCAAAGTGTTTATTGTTAACATGCAGCTCAGCATGGTATTGCTGAACATGATTCAGTTGTAACAATGAACTAATGGGACCATGGTAAACCATAGATTAAAATAAAACCTGTTAACAAATATTCTAATTGTCTCTAAAGGTCATTATTACCACATTTACTCACGTCCCATGAATAACTCAGTGAGTCTTTCTGAAAGACAGGGAGTCAGACAGAAAGGCATTAAAAAAAAAAAAAAGAAGCGATGAACCCTGGAAGAAACTGACTCCAGAGTTGAAAGTGCAGCAGGAGAAGCAGAAGCATCCGGAAGGATCACATGAGACAAGTACCACAGCAGATGAAACTGGCGCCTGGCCAAACTGCTTCCCTCACTTAATGTGAACCTACAACAGCAACAATTGCACGTTTTACTGCAGTCATGTCATCTCAGGAGACACCTGACTGCTTCCTGCCGCATCTAACAAACTCAACGCAGGGTCTCATTTAGAACCAGCTGATCTATTTTTGGTCGCTTATTAATTCTACTAATACTGGAAAAACGCCTCACTTCCCCGTTCCACTCCTTAGTACAAGAAGTCAAAGCTTCAAGCACTGGGCGTCCAAAACATAGAGCATAATTTGGCTCTCTGGACTGGGTTGGGTTCAGTTGATACAAAGGACTTTTTTTTTTTTTTTAATCTGTCACCGAAGACGCGCACGCTCCCATGGGGTATGTTGCCACGCAACCACAAGCCCCGCCCACCACTGCGGTGGGTTCACCTGAGCGGTGCTCACGTGACAAATTCGGAGAGTTCATCCAATCAGGAGTGAGGACAGGTGCGTCCAGAGGAGAGTTTCGGAGGCGGAAACCTGCTGGTTCAGTGGAAGAAAGACGCTCCTTATAAATGTGTCACTTCATTTGAGCGATTCTCAAGAATTGCAAGTGGGGGGGAGAGTGGAGATATTTAACAGGACGAGCGGAAAATAATTAATTCAAACGCTTTGATGGTGGGGGACGTGAGGAGACAGGACATCGTGCGTAAAATGGATATTTGCGCGACCCTCTGAGGTATTGTTGTCACAGTTGATCACTGTGTTCACCGGTGAAGAGGAAGACACTGAATGTTGAGTGCTGTGGATATATCAGCACAGTCCACAGCCTGACATTTACACTCGGATCAGGGTCGTTTTAAGTGTCTGCACCTCATTTTTGCAGCTCAGGTAAGCGTTCCTGACAGCTTTTTATTTTGTTTATTGTTCACCTGTGAATCACGGTGTGGGTTTGCCTTCTGTTCTCACGACTCATTAAACCAGTTTTACAGAAAAGCTAAACATGGTTACACTGGTTATTCATAGGATTAGTTGGTAAGAAGTTGTCTCACCGGTGACATTAAATTTGGATCACCAAAAATAAAAATACATTCACACTTAAACAGGACAAATGATACTCAAGCCATACATGGGATTTATGATGATAATGGAGGGTGGGGATGGAGATGTAGAGTAAGAGGACAATGGTGTTTCAGAGAAATTAAGGATTTTAGAGAGTTCTGAACAACATAAATGGCCTCACAGAGGAAATGAGACAAGATACTGGCAAATAAAGAGAAGAATTAGTGATGGCATCCATACATTTGTTACAGGTCTCTCCCTCCAGTCAAAGATGACAGAGAGGACCCCGTGGTGGAGGGCATTCCTTGGGCCAAAGAAAAAGAGTGGAGGCCACAAGGACACAGGTTCAACCCCACAATTTGGCCCAGATTTTAACCCTTTTGAACAACGGCCAGAAAAGCAAAAAGACCACGCTGCTGCTGCCGCCTCCAAGACCCCAGGCGACCAGTCCCAGCCTCAGCAAGAGTCCAACAAACACTCCAACCTCCTCAGTGATGACACCTTTGACGACTCCAAGTTGGACTCGGTCTTCAACGAGCAGACGTGCCGCAGGAACATGAAGGTGTCCCGCTCGGGTCGATTCAAAGAGAAGAAGAAGGTGCGCTCCAGTCTCCCTATACAGGAGAAAGAGCCAGAGACTGTAGCGTCGGGGAAAGAGGACATCCGGTGGCAGTGAGGAGCAGAAAGTGATCAAAGACTGCTTTATAGAGATGCTTGAAAAGAAGGAGACAGATTTAAGTAGATGAAGATGCTTCATGCTCGTGAGGCACGCCAAGAAGTCTGGTGATGATGAAGACCACAAGCATTCACATTTTAGCCCAATACTGTGGGAATATGGTTATGTGACGCAAGAAATGTTGAAGATTTGTTGATGGACTTGTGCAAGCGGGCCACAGAAACAATGTAAACTGACTTGAAAATGAATTGTATTTGTTTTGTGATGGGTATTGAACCATTTTGCCAACAATATTCCACAGTGAAAACTCAAAAGAAGTAGTGATGCAGTGAGCACTTATGAGCCCAACATAGTTCCCAGAGTATCCCTGTTTCAGTAATTTGACAGCTACTAAAAAGACAAACAAACCTTGAAAAAAATATCCTCAAATGCCATTTAAAAAAAATTAGTACTCAAGATATGTGATATGCTTCCGGAAAATTATTGTCTATAAGATGTTTACATTATTTCTGTAGTTATATTAATATATGTTTATAATGAAGGAAGAGTATAATGCTCCTTTTACAGTGCTTTTACACAAATGTTGATTCTAAAGGGTTAGAAGGATGTTTATGAAGGTGTAAGTGATTTCATTATATGTGTGAACAAAAAAGAATGTTTGTCAGCAGCTTCCAGTCAGATGCACGACACTTGCCAGCAAAATGCAGAAAATATATCGATGAAGGATGAGATCTGGCCTATTAAAAAAAAAACAAAAAAAACACAGTGGGTCCTTAGCACTGAAGTTAGAAGTTTACTTTGTACGATCCAACTAAGTAAGACAGAGAGAAGTCGTGAAGGAAGCGATTGCTTTTTTTAGGACTGCTGTATTTTGGATCACCTGTGAATACTTACATGAAGGTGAAATATGAGAAATAAATCTGCTGCAGCTGCTTGTATCAATGTGTGTCTGAGTCAATCACTGCTGGCAGAGATGTTTAAACTGGACAGTGCACGGAAAAGTATTTGTTTTCAACAACCTTTTAACAGCCACAAACACATATTGGATAAGAAAAACAAGACAATTTTGCTGTTCAAATTACCCCAAAAAGTCCCACGCAAACTGAGGAAATGTGAATTTCATAACAACCTTTTCGGTAAAAGTGAAAATGATTCATCATGTCACTACTTTGGGCGGCTGTGCTGGCATCCGATCATGCTAATGTGTGATCGTCACAGTCTAAGAAAGGCCATTAGTGTCAATTAGTGTTTATATATAGAATCTGTAGCTGTCAAGCCCAGGCCAGAATTATGCTGTAAGTGAAAAGGAGGAGCACACCTAGCTACATGTGTCACTGCATTCCTTTGTCACTGTTAAAGTTGTGGGTGTGTGTGTGTGTACTTGCACTTTAGATGAGTGTGTGAAAGGGTTATAGCTGAGGAAACCTTATCAATCACATCAGGATGTTCATTCTGGTAGATTAATCGTAGCAACTGGACTTGCTTGAGTTCCTTGAAGACGTTTCACCTCTCATCCAAGAGGCTTCATCAGTTCTGACTGACCAGTTGGGAGATCCAGATACTTGTATCCTAAGGAGCCATTAACACCTGAGTTTCGGTTTCCACTAGGGGTTGTTAGTCCTTCCTCTCGTTATGTGAGTCGTTAGTGCCCCCCTTGCCACAAAGGGGTTCGTTAGGGTCTTTTGTGGCTAGGGGTGAATGCAGTTTTCATCTCTCCCCAGGAAGATGAAAACTTCCATGACCTGGATGACTGAGAATCTTCACAGACATCAGGATGTTCAGATTTGATCCACCATCTCACTGTGGCTGTTTAATCAAAGCACAACAGGTAGATAGAGATGCTTTTTGGAAGTTGAACGCAAATTAATAACTTGTAATGCCATCTTTTCAACACGAGGGGGCAGAAATGTGTTGCCATCATCTGGTCAAGGTAATTCTAAAAATATCTTACTAGATTTTTTTCTTATGAAAGCCACTGACGCATATCTCCAGGCTATCTCTCAGTTCCCACGAATACATAAGGCTTAATTACTCCACATGTGTAATTAAACGTGAAGGAAAGTTTCTCTGCACCTTCAGCTCAAAGTGAAGCGATGACACCCAGCTGACTGTCTCTCCATTGGCCCCGTACTGTCTGTGGGGCGGTGAGGTGTGGTTTTGGCACAGCGCGCCTCCACCAGTGCGCTCACAGTGGGGTGGGGGGGACAAAGTGCAAAACAGCCAGAGCCGTTGCGCTGTTCACTTCCGAACCTGCCTGCCTGTCTGGCTGTCTTCTCCGACGTGGACACAGAAATGAAGTAACATGAAAAGTTTCTGGAACTTTTTCCAGGTGTTTACAGGAGATCCGCAAGCTGTCGACAAGCCAACCGTGTGCGAAGTGTGACCTGATTGGACTAAAAATAACTTGGAGACTTTCTCACTGTCCCGCTATGAAGAGCGCACTGTGAGGGCTCCATCTCACTGAGGCTTTCTCTGCAAACAGGTGGATTTCTGACTTATTTGCTTAAGGTAAGACAACTTTTTAAACTATTGCGCACGTGTATGTGCCAAGTGCAAGTTTTTGTTTCCACAGACTTGCCTGCTGACATGCGTAAAAATGTGGGTTCGAGTTTGTGGGACATCAAGTGTAACTTTCTCTAGTTTGATGGCCTCTCTGATGTCATGAGGTGCAGTTTTATCCCCTTAGTCTACTTTAAATAACAGAATCATACAGTTAGGCTGCTTAGTTCCTGGATTTTACTTGTAAATTCAGCTCACAAGTGCACATTCAGGAGCAAAGAAAAAACCAGTGCACAAATTTACAAGTCAAAATATGCCCAGGTTTAATTTCTTGTGTTGTTTGGTATCCTCCCTCTCTCTAGGATATGTGCCAATAATAATACTGATCACAAAATCAACCACAATTTTCTTCTAAATGATTTTCCAGTCACAACTAGTATGAAGATGACAAGATATGGAAATGAGACTAAAGCACTGTCAGTACGCCAAATAATGTTTTGCATGTCTTCCGCAAAGAAAGTTTGTCTTTTCTTTAGGCTGCAGCAGCTGCAAATTCCAGCTGCTTGTCCGTGTCACATCATGTCTTCTTTACCTCGGGAAGAGCACAGGTCAAAGACAAACAACAACTGGTGTGAAAGGTGCACTTTCACTCACCGTCCCACCTGTTCTGCAAGAGCTCAGCTCCCCAGCGTCCACCGTTGCCCCTTTAAAGCTCTGAACTGAACGTGTGGCAGAGGCTGTTTGCTTGACACAGATATGAATATAGAAATAGCAACAGTCTGCCAGCTGCAAAGAGGAGAAGCATGAAGGGTGCACAAACAGAGAGACGCACAGAGATGCAACAAAAACAGGTTCTGTTCCGTGCTTTATTAAATAACTAAGGAGGAGCGTGTGCGAATTCCACAGAGAACTGAATGTGCACAAACCTCAGGCTGTTTCCAGGCGTTCATTCATGGAAGACAGCATGTCAAGAATCTGCGATGCCAAGATGGTGGGTGGAGGTCTCAGTGGCTGTAGCTGTGGGGTTGTTTACCAGCAAAAAGCTGCCATCAACATGTGGAGGTTAAGATGTAGTGACATAATCACTGGCCATGAGCTGTTCCTGGAAAGTTGCTGTGGTGGATCTCTAATGTACGTCTGATTGCCAAACCAGTTGCTCTTGAAGACATCCTGTACATAGTTATGGGTTCAGTACAATCAGGGGGGAAAAAAGCGAACAATGTGTTAGCACGCTGTACTGGTTTCCTGTGGACCTTCCTTAATGTGTTTTCCATTCGGCCACTGCAGCGAAGGCCGTCTGTCAGTGGGTGACCAAAGGGTAGGGGTCCATTACTTTTCACACAACACTCACCATTGTTCCAGTCCCAAGTCCTGCTACAGAGCATTGTGGGAAGAAGAAGAGTAGCAGGGGTGGGGTTGGAGGGGGGCCTGTGTCAGATTTCTCTGGAGAGGATGGAGTGCTTGCTGTTTCCTGTTTTGTGCCGTGTGATGGTGAAAGCTCTTCCTGTTCAGGGAAGAGGTTAGGGGGTCATCGAGTGTGCACAGTAGCGGCTTCTGACAAGGACAGGAAAAAAAAGAAATAGAAGCCGGTCAATTGGCTGCATTGCATAAACAGGGTAGCAACGTCGTTCCCACTAATAGGGATTGCATTGTGTTCTGCAGGTATCTGAGGCTCAGGCATGCCGGTGCCCCCTCCTCCTCCTCCTCCGCCTCCCCCAGCCGCCCCTCCGCCACCTCCCCCCAGCGCTGTACTGCCACAGGTGAGACTGATCCTTATTCTCTCTGTCTGTCTGTCTCCAACTCTCTCTCATGCAATTGTAAACACTCGCTCTCGTCCTTCTTGCTGACCATCAACCAAACACCTGGAGGTTATTTGCATTATTGATTGAGCTACTACACACACACACACAGAATAGGATAGAGAGCAGACTCTCAGTAGCAGCAGAGTGTTATGTTTCCACAGCCGGCTCACGGTGTCCTCATGTTAAATGAGTTCCTGCAGCCAGCGAACGTGGCCAGACCGCACAGACATGGCTCGGTAGATTCTGGATACAGCAGTAATCTGAAGTTGTGGTGCTTCCCAATGTAGAGAATATGAGACAGACAATGAATCAGTCTACATAAACAGAAGTGATCCTCTCCTGTAATTCTTGTCTTCATCCACCGTTTGCTTAATGAGAACACGTCATAGGTTTCGTATATTTCTATCCGAGCTGAGATGAAGTCATAAATCTCCTTTTTTCATGCTGAGTAAAACATCTACAGTCTTCAGTCGGGCTGCACACGAGCCAGTTTGGCTCATTAGGGATTAATCTGTCACTTTTTGTATTAACTATAAAGCCTATAATGTCAGAAAATTGTGAAAAATGTTTCTCAAAGCTCACTATGACGTCTTGCCTGACTAACCGTCCTGCAATCATATAGAATAGAAGGAAACAGCAAATTTGAAAAGCTAAAATGTTTTTTGCAAGTTGCATTTTTTGCTGGATGAATAAATTAATCAAATAATAAGAAAAATTAAAGCAGTTGGTTATTAAATGTGATGTTTTTTTTACTTAGTGTTTGGATTGGCACTGGGGAGCTGTAATACTTCAATGTAAAAACACTTCTCAAACTCATGTAAAAGTTGTTCTTTCTCTCCGTGTGACAGTGTCCGTTGGAGCCTCCTAAGCTCCAGTCTGGCGGAGGAGGAGGAGGAGGTGGAAGGAATGCCCTGCTGGCCGACATCCAGAAAGGAGCCAGGCTCAGGAAAGTCACTCAGGTCAACGACCGCAGTGCCCCTGTTGTCGATAGTAAGTCCAGCAGCCTCACCACCCTCTGAAACACACGAACACACACAGTCGGTCTGTGGTCACTAAATATTAAAGGATTCCTGTCATACTGCTCGTATCATCGACTCAGCCGTAGTGGAATGGGGATTCAATAGTGTTTGTATTTTGAAATGTGCTAGTGTGGTACATTACGGTGGAAAAAAAAGTTGAAAGTGAGGGATGAGGGAGGGGAGGGCGCCTATGTGGAAGGATGTTGTGTTTCTTTGGGCTATAGTTGAGCACACAAACAGCCAAGTGCACACTCCAGGAAGGAATGCCCTATAGCAGATAATGAAGCAGGCACACCAGGAAACTACCATATACATCACAGTGGCAAACACAATAGACAGGACACACAGTATATCCTTACTATAGCTCTACAAAGAGATGCTTGTCAGTTTACAGATTTTATATATGTGTATTTGCAACAATTTTTTATAGCTAATATTATATCATATATTCTGTTTTATAGTTTTTGTTATGTTTTATGGGCAGTTTGTGTTTTCAGGTGGCTACAAGACACATTTCTCTTCAGAGAAAGTACTGATGCAAGTGTAAAATTTTATTCAAAAATATTCTCTTTAACTCTTGTTTTCATGGCAAATATCTCACAAGCTAGACAAACAAAAAACTTCCCACTGAAAAACAGCAAAAAGACAAAGACAGTCGGCTCGCTACAAGATAGAGCTGAAAATGTTGGTGCCGGCGTATCGTTTTAGCGAAGTGGCTAGTCAGTGAGTCAGTGAAATATCTCGGCTTACATGCGGCCAGTAAAAAGCAGTTAATGCTAACAATGTTAAGCGATTAAGGAACCAGGCTCTTTTGTGAAAAGGAGTGTAGTTTATCCTCAGGGAGATTAGATGATTGGGGTGGTTCAAAAGTTACTCATGTTCCTGCCTGAAGTACACAGGTGTTCACAGAAAGAGCATCACTGAGGAATTTCACGTCACTAATTAATGTTGTGATTGTGTGTTACATTAATGACGAGCATTACAAACAGAAATATTGAATAAGATTATTAGCTAAGATAAAGTTAACTACTGTACGACAGGTGCTCTCAAAATATTCCAAACGGAGAATCGGTAACATTTATAAAACAGTTAACATTTAGGACTGAGAGGTTATCAGATAACCCCCCAGATGTTTTAGTTTATCATTTTAAATGGAAAACAAAGGGAAACGTTTGCAAAGTATAGCTGAAAGTGCCAGCTGGTGTAATTTTATATCAATGTGTACATGTGTCAGTCTCATCTGGTGCAATCTGTAAGAAATATTATCATATAGTTAAGTTTTTAGGACAGAAAATGACCATTAATTTTAATGGGATGATGCGCTTCTTTTGAACACAAGTGAAAAGTTGCGGCTTTATTATGTTTATTACATTATCATGAAACTAATAAGTGCATAAAGTATGCAATTTTCTGAATAAATGAATAAATTAATTCATACGTAATGAACTTATAACAAACTTTGTATTAAAAAAGAAAAAAAAAGAATCAAAATTGTATGATTTTGGCTTTTTTTGCTTGTAATTTAATAACACGTGGTCCTCTTTAGAACCCAAGGCGAACACTGGAGATGTATCCGGAAACGTTGGTGCTTCTCAGGGCTCATCAGGTGGGACGGCACCTGTGGGACCCTCTTTAAGTGGACTTTTTGCTGGAGGGTTCCCCACCCTAAGGCCCATAGGACAAAGAGACTTAGTGGGCAAGACTCCAGGTTGGTGCAAAATGTCATGTCCTTAGTAGAGCTCTGTATTTCCAATGGTAGTATGGAACCATTAGAATGACTCCTCCTGTGTGGGTTTCAGTGTCCCGATCGAGCTCTTCGGCCTCCATGAAGCCGCTGTGGAATCCTCCCACACCGTCCGACTCCGGCAGCCCTCCTGAGCCTCACAGGACAGTAGAGGTCCAGAGCTCCATCCACCGCCTGCTCGCTCCCTCGTCCTCAGCTCCTCCGTCACCCTCTCACAGCAGCAAGCACCCGCCTCCTTTCCCTGCGTCGCCTCCGCCTCCGCCTCCGCCCGCCCCGACCTCCGCTCCTCCCCCGCCTCCTCCACCTCAGGCCTTCCAGGACCGGCCGGCCAACAGGCCTCCCCCTCTCCCCTCGTGTCCTCCCCCTCCACCTCCGTCCCAGGTTACCAAGCCCACATGGCTCCCCATCCAGCACTCTCACCACACATCTATCTCCCAGCCCTCCACTCCTCCGCCTCCACCTCCAGCTTTCCAGACTCCTTCACCTGTCCCAGGGGATCGCTCCTCGGGGTGCTTCTACCCTCCACCTCCCCCCACGTTCTACTCAGAACCCTCAAGGTTCCCAATTCTACGCGACAGCCCCCTAGGACCTCCTCCGCCACCTCCTCCTCCGCCTCTCCCAGCTTCCTTCACCCCCAGCTGCCCATCCACCCTCCCTCCACCGCCACCCAAGCTGGCCCCAGTGGCCTCCCCAGCCATGCGCTCTCTGCCGCCCTCATACCCCTGCAACGCTCCCACTCGACGGCCACCAGCTGTTCCCAGAAGTGCCGGTAAGTGGACGGCAATCGACATAACATCTTCAATGTAGTTTTTTTCGTTGTTTGTTTTTTACCCCTCTTATGCATCCCTATTTATGTATTTTGTTGTGAGACTTTCTTTGAACTTTCATGTTTGCAGTGCTCTCTGGTTTTAATGAGAATTGAAGCTGTGTATTTGAACTTTTACTGTGTATGAAAAAGCCAGACTAAGGCCAAGACTTGAGCTTTAACAGTAGCTATGAACTCCTAACTCCTAACGCTCTGCAGTGGAACAAAGCTAAACCTGCATCCTCCCTATTCACTCATTTTTAAACCCAACGCACAGCCAACATCACTAGTATTGGAGCCAACTTGTAAAATGAACGGCGAGGATGTAAAGGGAAATGTACCAGAGAATGATAGCTGATTTTTATTTTTTTTAAAGAGAGAGTCAAGGGCTTAATGCAGAGGTTTGTAATTTGGGGTCACAAATTAAATCCACACAGTCGTGGGATAATTTTCAGTAGCACCTTCAATCGTAAAACAAGAATCCTGACTCTTCCAAGAAAAATCTACATTTGCTCAGTTGATCTGTTTTTCTGTGTCTGGAATCTCCAACCAAGTATAGGTTAGAAACTATGGCAGCTGTTAAGGGTAGCCATTAAAGCAAACACTATGTGTTGCGTAACCCCATAGTTTTTTTTGTGATTTATACAAATTACTGTTTTCTCACAGAGAAAAAAAATGTGAACATGGCCTCACAGTCTCGCATCAGATGTACTTTTTTACCTTCTATGTGCGGTCTGTTGCTGACGTCCTCTCATCTTGGTAACAGGTGCGGGTCGGCTCGCTCCTCCTCCAGCTCCTCCGGCACGTTCCCCCTCCACAGAGTTGTCCACCCGCATTCCTCCCCCTCCGCCGCCTCCCCCCCTGCCCCCATCCAGCCTCAGGAACGGACACCTGCACAGCCTGGGTAGGACGAATCACGACAAAGTTGTAAATTTAGTTAGTAAAATAAAATGCAAAAGAAAATGTCCAGTGTGGACCAGTGAAGTGGACATAGCAGCAGGTTAAGACCACCTGCCACACATTTTCTATTTTACCCTCTATGGTCAGTATGAGAAGAATGTAGAAGTTTGCTTGTGTCACACTACTGTCCATATTTTTATCTATACTTTTGTGTAATTTTTGAAGCTCAATTGGAAAAAAAAAACAAAGTGGGAGCTTCTAACTGTGTCCTAATTCAACTCCAGCAGATGACTTTGAATCCAAGTTCCAGTTCCACCCTGTAGAAGATTTACCTCCGCCCGATGAATTCAAGCCTTTCCCTCGGATCTACCCCAGCAAAGAAAACAGAGGTAGCCACACAGCACGCACATTGCTTCTCAACTTGCCTCAGCACTTTGGTCCTATTTTCTTAGCTGTTTTTTTCTTTTTCTTCCTTTATGCTCTCTTCCAGTGAACCCCAAACCTCCTGCGATCAGGACACACCTCAGATGAGTCACCCTGTTCTTCATCCCCGACCCACAGCAAAGAGACTATTCCTCCTCCGTCTTCCGACAGCTCATGACAATAACATAACTGCCATGGACTTGTTTAGATAGAGGTGTTTTTGTGTGCGTGTTGTTTGTGTTTATTGTGTGTGTGCATATGAAAGTGTCAAACAGGGTCCCATCTTACACTGACTATGTGACCTCTGAGCTTTTCCAGTGTGGAATGTTTTGAATGTGAGGAAGAGGAGGAGGGTTCGCCCCACTAATACTCATAAGCTGCACACAGACTCTACACACACGTATACTCCAAGGACAGTGTCTTCCAGCAACTATATTTAACATGACTCTTGACACAGTGTGTAACACTTCATTACCGACATACAGTATAGAAAACTCATTTGCGATGATGTGTTGTAGCACTTTTACAAAGCCACAAAGGTGTAAAACTCTTTCACATGCCTACAAACTGGAGTCCAGGGGAGATGCTGCTCAACTGCAAAGATTGTATAAATGTGTCAGGACATTATCCAATACTGCTGCCTTTTCAAAGTGATGCTTAAATGCTCAAGCAAGACGATCCTCTCCAGAAGTTTGTGTGCAACAAGTAGGCCTAATTTCAGTGTAAAAGTCAATGTGAAACCATGATTGCATGTGAATTTGTGTTCATTTTTCACTTGCGCCTTCAGGGTATACTTACCGTCGGTGTTCATGAAGCATCGTACATACAGTGTAGTGGTGCTCTCCTGTGTTATTGTGACTTTTTCTTTTTCAGAGAATGTGATGGGACAATTACTGACATTGTGAGGATTGTTGGAATGCATCGGTTTTAAATGACACTGAATTGTTGGCTTGAATAATAGATAATAAGTGAGGTATACTGTTTCCTTTCTTTATGTATTAACCAAGACTAACACGTGGGAAGACAGTGCCACCTGCTGGTTGAATGTGTGACCACCAAGTAAAACCAAAGTATCTTTGTTTAACAAGTGTACTCAGGTCGTTTTATTCATTAGACTGGTTTTAAATTGAAAACAACATACATACCTGGCTTTAACAGTGTAGTCATTTGTTTAAGTGTAGTCTGGAAGTGTTTACATGAGGGAAGACAACCACAAAGCTACAGAAACAGGACAGTCTAGATTCTAGTTCAGTCATTTTCTGGTTGGAAGACTCGTGAGTGTAATATCTCAAAACAGCCTCCGGCACTCTGGGTAAATAACAGGTACAGTTAATCTCTGTTGTGATTCTTCTTTTTGCCATTTCTTGTCGACAGAATTATTCCCTGTTACTGCAAAGTTCTCCAAAATGTATGCGTTTGACTCACTTAATGCACAGATCAGGGCTGAACAATAGATCCTTTCAGCACTGACATCTTTCTCACAGATATTTTGACTCTAATTACACTGATAATGGCTGGATTGTTCTGAGGTGTACCAGTGCCATTGGTTCAGTGTCATGTGTGCTGTCTTTCTGGGAGCACTTAATACAACAAAACCGATATGAGCTGCTTGTTTTGTGATATCAAACGGTCATATCCCAGGAAAAAAAAACCCTGTTATACCCCAAAGAAAGGCCCAGTTCACTGCTACATGGAGAAGGCACAGGATTGTAGAAATCAGTAAATTCACCTTTTGCTGATGATAAACACTCATTTTAGATCACGAGACTGATTTAATGGCATTTTGGTCACTTGTCACAAAAGTTAAATGTTTACAATCTAATTCAACACGGACCTATAAAAGGTGAACTGCATGAATCTAATAAGCAAGGAAAGACTGTTTTGCTTTAGGGGATTTTCACAGCCAAATTTAGCAGCACGTATCTTTTTACATTACCTGCCCACATGATGCAGTGTGACAACAAGCGTTCACTTTTCTGCTGCCTCAGATATTTTGAGATACTGATTAAAGCAAGTAGTAAAAAATCTAGTCTTTAAAATTCATATTGAAGATGACATGAAGCCATTTCAACTAATAATAATAATAATGATGTACTGCAGGGAAGTTTCAAAGGTTGTACGTTTACAGCGGTCCTAAGAAGGTACAAATTTCACTTTTCACAAATAAAAAAATAAACCACATAAATCACTAAATTCACACAGGAGGGGTTCAAGTGCCACACACCACACAAACACAATGCTTCAATAAAACTGAAATGCTTTGTGATAACCTGAGAAAGTCTTTGCAAAACAACTCTGCGCCAAAGCAGTTCCGCCATGAACCACAACAGAGCGCTTTGTGGGACTTTACAGTTCATCGTGTTTGTAAGTGAACTCTCTGGAGGATATAAAGCCGTCCTTGTTCTTATCCTCCTTGGCAAAGATGTCCTCCATCATGTTCTCATGGAGAGTGTCGTTGGGGGGGTAACCGTAACGCTCATACTCCTTCCTCAGATACTCTTTCACCTGGCGGGCATGAAAAGAACAGTAAGACTGAGTGACACAGAGAGTGAGACAAATAAACAGACTGGAAAAAAAAAACAATGTGATGAGAAAATAAACCAAAACAAAAAAATTTGCACTAAAATCCATTTACTCTTCAATACAGGAACAAAGTCTGAAATGGGATTTTCCAGCCATTATTTGTTACACAAAGACACCTTGCAATGGGTGACACTAAAAACAAGCAAAACATACAAACACAGGCTGATTGTAGTCAAATAGGTAGCAACTGTAAATACTGCTTCTAATATATGTACCTTACCGAAAACATTTTGTTGTTGGGAGCCGATTAAAGCATTTACACTTTTATTGTACTTCTACATGCTGTTCTCTCATTCATTTCATGTTTACAAGCTAGTTTTTTTATGACTGGCAATCTAACAGGTCTGCCTGATCGCCAATACGTTGGTCTTCTGTTTTAAATTGTGTGTATTTGAGAAATAATTAATATTTTAAGTAATGTTTATAATAAATATTTGATTTTTCCCCCCAAATCAGTCTTATTCTTTTGAAATACTCAACAGTTTTACCTCTTAAGGCTTCAAAAAAACTGCCCAGAACTCCTACATCCTCACGACCAGGGCTTAGGAAAGGTCACAAGGCACCGAAACCAGGGTACTGTTCGGTTTAAACTCAAACTGTCTTCACCTCATGCTTGGAGAGCCTCCAGTCGTCGTTGAGGTCCATCTCTTGGAAAGACTCGTGCGACCTCGGCCCATTTCTGATCTCAAGCACCTCGATGACGAAGGTCAGTGTGCTTTCAGGTGGGATCTTACCTGACCACACACACAACACACAAGGCAACAATAAGTCAGCCACAACTGAAACTGGATATGGACGAAGGTTTCTGCGAGCACTATAAAGAAAACAGGTTGAATAACATTTTCTTAGTATTAATAACAAGCAAACTCCGGTTGTATTATTAGTCCTGTCAAGTCATTCAGGTTTTTGTTGTCATAGCAAATGTTAGTTAGACACAGTAGAAACGAATGTTATTGGTTAGAGTGTTTTGGTGCTTACCAGAGCAAAGCACAATACAGTTCACATGCTCCACGTTGAGGAAAAGTGCAACTGAATGAAACCTTCATTCAGTGTGGGAGTCCTAGAAAGTCATTCAAAACAACACAGACACATATAACACACTTACATGCATAACAGATACAATGACAATACAGTTGGAGAACCTGAAAGACTTAACACAGTGCCACATATCTGTTCAGCAGCATGCAGTTGAGCTTTGTCGCTACATAATGATGAAACTACAGTACCTTTTCCTTCCTTCCCATAGGCCAGAGCAGGAGGTACGACCAGCTTCCTCTTCTCTCCAGCGCACATGTCCTGCAGACCTTTATCCCAGCCTTTGATCCCTTGTTTGATGCCCAGTGTGAACCACACTGCCTGCTTGTCACCTTCATTTCGACTGGTGGACAAACACAGACGAAGACGGAGTGAAGTGTAACAGATGATCTAAAGAAGGTGAGACTATAACACGGTTGCATAGATGTTGTTTTGAGACAATGATGGGTTTGCTTCTGTGAAAGTTTGGCTGTAATTTCGATTTATGCAGTAAAAATAATCAGCATTTTTAATGATTTTAACTCGGCAGACCTGAACACGTTTATGTCTATGTGAGTGTCAGTTTATGTACCAAGAGATTTGTAGCTGCTGTCTGCTACCTGCATTTGTACGGAGAGAAAAAGCTTTAAAAGAAATTGTCCCCACTACACTTGTTAATTCAAAGGCATCAACAAGGCCAACATTTCTTTTGACTTTGCTTTTGCAGTTCTACTTCTTTTTAATCTGTCAATATGCTTGGCTACCTTGTTCGTGAGGTTGTCTTCATAGGTGTAGAGTATTAGATATTTTTGACTGCCTCCATGCAATTACACGCTCGGTTGCATGCTATTAACTTTGTGTCTCTTCTCACCAGTAGTTTGCTTTGTTCTCTGTCCTCTCTCTCTCTCTCGCTGTACCTCTCTGCAGGTATTTCTGGCTCTAGCTGCAGGTTTCTGTTCTACAGCTACAGGCCTCAGCAATGTGTCCAGTGTTTAAGTTGTCTTGTTTATCAGTTTACATTCACCCCAATGAATTAAAGCATGTGTTCTGAGCCTGGCTCTGCTGCAGGTATCTTCCCATTTAAAAGGAATTCTCCCTCTCTTTTGTTGCCAAGTGTTTGCTCAGAGGAAATCACTGGATTCATTGAGTTTGTGTGCATGATACTGGACATTCTTTACCTAAATAACTAGATTGGTCAGGTAAAGTTGTATTGTAGGGTCTCAAACTTAACATCTGAACTTGTTGGGTAAATTTGATACAATATTTTTTCTTTGTTTAAAGCTCCTTAGATCAAATTGTGTGGTTTTAAATGTGCAACATATTTAAAAGTAGCCTGACATAACTGTCAACGGCTTTGGCAATTTCCTCTTGGGCATGATATTAGAAAACAAAATTAAAGTTGGTTATCTAAGGGTACACTGTTAAACCCCATACAATCAATTGAAAAGAGGGCTATGCATAGAACTGGATCTAAATCCAGTAACTACAACATTTACAAAAGCATTTCCCTACAGACGTTGCTATTCAACCACATACAACCAAGTAGTTCTGATAAACCAGTAAGTTTTTAACACTGACTCAGTAGTATTTCAAAGATTTAATATCACTGTCATTGAAAGATGTGCATACAGTACAGAAATGTTGTTTTTTTTTAAAAAATATGGATATAAATGATCTGTTTGTACATGTTTTTATAAGTTAAAGTGTGTCTGATTTAGGTGAAGCTGTGGATTTAGTTTAAGCTCTGGGTAAGACAGACTGTAGTGATGAAACAAATTCTGAAGAGCTCCTTACAAAAAGTGGTATAAACTGCTGAATATTGCAAGATTGACACAGAACCTGCAGCCAAAAGAAAGGAAGAAAAGACTGGATGGACACAGTGTGACATCTCAACTGGGTGCATGTCCTGAGCCCAAAAAGAACACGTTTTTCTTGAGAGTCTTATGTGTGCCTGTCCTATGTAAACAACATTTCTTATGAGGTTCTTCCACAACTAAAAGTTAAACAGTTACAGATTTTTAAACAATCTGAGATCACATTAAAAGCTCATTACACCATATTATGTTTTTCATGTACTCATACATACAGTTACTCCTTCTCAAATCATCAGGGCCTTCTGCTCGACCCTCCCTGATTTGCTTGCAACATATAAACTATGGATGTTTAAATGTGTATCTGTGAAATCTGGATTGATCTATCAAAAACCTTCGACATACTTTTAGCTCGTTGTTTCATGCGTTGAAGTTTAAAGCTACGTTTGGATCACAACATCGTAGGAACTATTAAAGATAAAAAGCCTCTCATTGTCACTGTTATTTCTCCTCATTCCATCGGACAAGTACATCAAATAATCTATGCTAAGGAGTGAATTGAAATGTTAAAAAAATGAAGCCACCCATCTTTGAGTACACAATAACAAAAACTTGATAATGCAGAAGTGGTGATATTTCATGAACCATATGTAGTTACATGTCACATTAATACAAAACAAAACATATAGAATAATTTTTATTATAAAATACTTCACTTTTGTAATCAAGTATTTACTAGCATATCGTACAGTGTGTATAGTAGGATGATGAGAAATAACAGTGAAAATTTAAAGCTTTAATCTTTAAGAGTTCCTGAGATATTTTTGTTGAAACACAGCCTAAAATTTTAATGTGCAAAGAAATGTGCAAATTAAAAAAAACAATAATAGTAATAAAATCACTGAAAGAATTTGATATATCTGCCTTAAATTTCACAGATACCATTTTGCACATCCATAGTTTATGAAAAAAATGTTGAGGCAAATCAAAGATGGTTGAACAGATTTGTTTTTCTAAAAATGTGATGACTTCAAATGGGATGACCATTGCAGAAGCAACGATAAACATGAGTGACCAAAAACATAACATTAAGTAATAAATAAGGAGACAATGTGCCACCTCAATATGCCCCCACCTGTAAAAACTGCCTGGCTCCTCCTCTGGCTTGGTGTAAGGCAGGAAAGGTGTCATTTGTTCATTTGGGTGAATTCCCCCTTTAACTTGTGCACGTGACGCTAACAAGGTAACGAATGCAGTGTGCGCGTGCATTCACACGCTGTTTTTGATGCTTTAATATCGCGAGAACTTTTCAAATGTGTAAAAGCTGTTTGTGAAGCTGTACAGAGGAGAAGTTTGACTTCCACTGTAAGTACCAGAACATTTTCTGTCATTAGTGACTGTACAGGGACAAACAGAGGAGGGTAACTCGTGTTTAGTTTACCTTAAAGTCGCTGTTTTACAAACCTCGGGTCAGTCGTGAAACGTACCTGGAGTGAAATATGGTTCCGTTCTCAAAGTATCCGTCGTGGTGCACCAGCAGAATGTCTCCATACTTGGACTTTCTGTGACAGAGGAAAGGTCTGTGCAGAACTTCTATCTGCACCTCCGCTTCAGGCAGCTTCCCCCCGCTGACAGACAGCAGCAGGGAGGAGCAGAGCCAGCTCAGCACCGCCAGCAGCATGCTGACACGGTCACCTTCCAGGAGGAACAGCAGGACAAGCAGACAAGTTTTTAACAAATGTGCAGAAGCAGCAGCAGCAGCACTTGGTCCTCTACGTGGCAGTGACTTTTCATCAGGCAAGTTGTTGCAGGAAGTTTTCCTCTGATTGGCTGAGCTTCCTTCTTGGCCACGCCCACAGGCTCTCCTCCCTTTAGCATCAACTGAGGGAGGCCTTTCAAGCTTGTGCCTGAACTTTATTAGTGTTTTTATGAAATTTACAGTCATGCAGGCAGATTCTCAACTAATCACATTTTACTGGATTCATTTTGATGTAACTTCATGCTGCTGCAGTATTCACAGGTTCTTCTTTTTTTTTGCTATTGCTGTAAGAATATGACATTCATTTTCCTTCTGTCGGATTATTTGACATTCACTTCTAAAGGGCCACACTTTGGCTTGTACATTTACAGCACTGGTTAAAGCAGTCTGTTGTGCACCGAAACACATTTACATGCAATATCACAGCATTGCACTTCATAAATATTTGTTTTGTAATACATTGCACAGGAATAAACACATTTACACACCCCTGATTTGCATACTACGGTATATATAATACCACTGCTTCTTTGAAAGAGGCTTTTTTTTCTTTCTCTCTTATTAAAAAGAACACAGCTTATTTCTGCATTAACAGTCAGCAAGTCATAGACATTGTAAATATTTCATATGATACAATCATTAAATCCCACCATCACCAGTGTCCATAACAGTCCTGCAGCCGATGGTGTGACTGTACAGCAAGAAGCTGTTCTCTGAGGCCAGTTCAGGATTAAACCTCAAGGGGGACAGTCGATTTAAAGCTGACTCCCATCACTTTTCATGGCTCAGAGCAGGCACAAGAGCTTCCCTCTCAGTCAGTCAGTTTTTAATAAGGGGTGAGACTTCAGTAGAAATCTGAAGTAGAATCCCCTTGATCAGAAAGAGGAATTGCAGAGATCCACTGTGGCCATTTTGAAACTTTTGAATTCAGGTGAAGTACTTGCAGCCAGTAGAATCAATGACGCAAGAGTCGGTGCATCTGAGCTGCCCAAAGGATCTGCAGGAAACACAGAAAATGGTTTACAACAAGTGCAGTTGACTGCATCAGTACATGTGAGTACCAACCCAGGTTATACAGCAAGCCTTATGTTCCCTTTCATTTTTCTCTTTATTTAGGGATAAATATTGGGAAGTGCGCTTATTGGATTTCTTACTGACAATTAGAGGAAAAGATCAATACTATTCTCAAGTCTGTATGATAAATATAATGAAATAGCCAGCAGAGGTTAACTCACTCTAGCATAAAGAGTGGAAGCAAAGGGAAACCAGCTAACTTATTTCCAAAGATTCAAAATAATGGTAATAGTAAAATCTTCCTTCCAACTAGGGGAGGAGCTAAGGATGGGTCGGGGTGACCACCTCCCACACCCACTGATTTATTTGATTTTAAATCAGTTGAGGGTTATATTAAAACACTTCTCACATATTAGTCCTCACAGTGTTTTTCTGTGTATCAGGATGTCAGAACCAAATGATTAAAGTAAGTTTAGAGAACTGAGTAGTTGGCCTACAGCGATTTGCCATCCAGAAAAATAAATGAATGAGAGATCAGTTTCTGTGAATAATGGACTCAGCCTGGACACTCCTATAAATCTTGTCTGGCGCTGTCCCTGCTACCAGCACTTTTATAACTCACGAATAAAATGTTGTATGTGGCTGTTAAACTCAAGTGGGGGGTTTTACCCAAAATTTTGAACCAGCATTTTTATGTAATATTTCATTATTTTAGTAAAATGCTCCCTTTTTAGCAGTTAGATGAAAAAAAATGAGACCCCTGATCTCGCATGTAGGGAGGAAAGAAAGCAACTGCTACACATAAAGACTGAAAGCTGGTTATTAAAGCTAGGCTGACTAAAAGGGCCCATCAGTACCTCAAACTCCATCCATCCATCCATTATCTATACACCGCTTAATCCTCACTAGGGTCGCAGGGGGGCTGGAGTCTATCCCAGCTGACTCAGGGTGAAGGCAGGGGACGCCCTGGACAGGTCACCAGTCTATCACAGGGCTACACTTAGAGACAGACAACCAAGCACATTCACACCTACAGACAATTTAGAATCACCAATTAGCCTCAACATGTTTTTGGACTTGTGGGAGGAAGCCGGAGAACCTGGTGAGAACCCACGCTGCACGGGGAGAACATGCAAACTCCACACAGAAAGATCCCGGAGTCCTCACCGGCGACCTTCTTGCTGCGAGGCAACTGTGCTACCAACTGCGCCACCTTGCAGCCCTCAAACTCCCATTATGTAAAATTCTATATCATACAAAAACTACATTTAACAAAAATTGTGGTTTTACAGGGACTTGTGAACTGTACTGTTTGCACTGGGTCAGTGAGCTCCTGGTGTTTTTTGGCAATCAAGAAAACCCACAAGTTACAGAATATTTTGCTGCTTGTATGCAAGTTTGTTATCTTTGACAAGTCTTTATAGTAATCTGAGATAATAGCTGCTTCCTCTACTTCAGATTTAAGGCACAGCCATGAAGGTGATCTCTCAGCAAGAAAGTGGACACGAATATTTCCTAAAATCCAATCCATTATCTGGACACACGCTTTATCCTGCAGAAGACTGCAGGAGGGCTGAAGCCTATCCCACCCTGGACAGATCATATTTCCCAAAATGTCTAACTATTTGTCTCAGCATAAATATAAAGCATGCAGAGTGGTTTGATTTAAACTGCTTTACACCAACTGCTGCCAGGATAATGCACCATCAGATCTGGATGGTTTTCGAGACATTCCAGTAAAAGTACAGCAGTTCATTCAAGTGACCTTCACAATCTGCAAATGGTTGCATCTGATTTAAAGGAACCATATGGTGCCATCTTGTGTAAGTCTCCAAGTTACAAGGTGCCCCCAAATGAACAGACACAGCATATGTGCATGTGCTCCGTCAGTGAACATACCCAGGAAGGTAGGACTTGCAGGTCTGGTAACCAAAGTCCTTTCCGTCGCACTCCTCCATGCCTTCATGTCGATAGCCATCTCCACAGTAGGCCCACTTACAGTCTGGAGTAACGAGGGGAAGGAGACGAGAGGAGTTTAGCGGCAGAGGAAGGAGACAGCCAGGGAGGGAAGGGAGAGAGAGAGAGAAGACGTTACTAATTTCTTTGGCACTGCAGTCTGTTTCAGTGATGCCAATACAGCATTTTCCTGCTAATTTAATTGAACAGAAGCAGAGGGTAGTGAGAAGATGGCAGGAAAACAGGGCGAGATTGATGAAAGATCAAGGAAAGGTTTCACAGTGCTTACTGCTTTTAACTGCTGCCATGTGGGCTCAGACTGTGTGGTCTACTGTAGTTACGCTCTGCAGGGCGTCTCACTAGCAGCTGGGTGTGACAGCATGGAGCGTGCAGCAAAAAGCCAATCTACTTTGTAGTTGGAGACTAGTTGTAGTAATAGATTTGTCAAAATTCACAATACTCTGTACAATACAGCCTCTTTTTAAAGCAGCTTACAGGTGCTTGCATTATTAGAGTTGCTGGCTGTTGGTCATTTATTAATCATTTCCATTTTTCTGTCTTTTAGCTCTGCATTGCTGTCTATTTCTGAGCGTGTGCAAGAGAGCAGAAGAAGCATGTAACTTACTGAGACAAGCGTCAGTTACAATCTGGTTTCCATCATCACACTCCTCTCCATGCTGGGCCTGCACCTTTCCATCACCACATACACCAACTCTGTCCGGGACTTTCTCTGTGGACTGGAACGGCTGGAAGGGCTACAAGAGTTGTAAGAACAATCTTAATATTTCAAGTACTGCGAAATCTTGAACAAAGTGTTTGGCTCTTGTGGTTTGAAGGAAAGATGTTTAAATATTCAGACTAATGCTGGGCTTTATTTGGTGGTGAAGGGGGAAAAAAAACTTTAGTTAACTTGGTTCGTACAGTACAGTAGTAACTAAAAACAGTTTTTAGCTAAATGTAGACCAGAAAGAATATTAACTCGTACTTCCCTAGGGCTTTTAACTTCCTGTCATGATCTGCATGAGCAGATAGTTTGTTCAGAGTTACAGCTCAGTATTGAAAATACGCGATTTGAATGTCACAGTGGTGGAACGTAACTAAGTACATTTACGTAAGTACTGCTCTTAAGTATAATTTTGTACATTACTTAAGTATTTCAATTTTAAGCTGCTTTATACTTCCAGAATATTGTACATTCCACTTCACTACATTTATCTTACAGCTTTAGTTACTTTTAAGATGGAGATTTAACACAGTGGATGAAATAAACTTAAAATATAACTCATTTCTAAAGATTAAACATCTAACAAATGGCAGCGTGTAGTTCGGTTCACATTGCAAATGTCTGTTGGTTGTTTACAGCTGTGCCAAATAGTAATTTTTCCCTCTAAATGTCTCATATTCACATTTTCACATTCATAACAGAAATATAACCTTTTGGGAAAATGCTTTTAAAATCGTATTTTGGGAAAAACTCCAAACGTTTTGTGTTTTTAAAGAAAAATCTGATTTGACTGGTGATTCTACAGTTTTGTTTTGTTTTTTTTTTTTAAATGTCCACGTGACCATTAAAATTGCAGTTATTGCAATCCTTCCTTTTATTTACATAGACAAGCCTGGGCTTGTTCACACAACATTACTGCCTTGGTATGGTACAAAGAGGGCTGCAAGTGGCCGACCTTGTCACGACTCTTGTCTCTTATAAAACTGGATATAAAGTATTTCAAACTAGCTTCACCTGCTGCAGCTACAACACTAGCATGCTGCTGGTACACTGATGCTTCAGTAGAAATAATATAATGATGTTACATGTAATAATGTATCAGTCAGAGGGCCAAAAACAATACTTTTGCTTTTCTAAACTACATTTTAATACTTCATCACATTTACTCAAGTGGGGTTTTTTTTTTTATGCAGGACTTTTACTTGTAATGGAGTTTTTTTTTTTTACACTGCTGTAACTTAGTAAAGGATCTGAATACCTCTTTCACTACGGGAAGATCATTACCTGTATGGGCTTCCATCCGTCTTTATCTCTGAAGTACAACATCCTCTGATCCTTCCTGAATGCTATTGAATTGTCGAGACGTAGACGGCCCATCTCCTCTTCACTGTTGACCACAAATATCTGTACTCACAGACGTACAAAGAGAGGTGGAAGTAGATGAGTGATGATTATTTAAGGAACATCACAATTTGTGAAGATTGTATTGTGAAGGAACAGGGTCTTACTGCAGCGACTTTGTTGCTGCCGCGTCGATCTGTGTAGCTTCCAAAAGGTGCATTATTTGCTCCAGGAGTGGTGTCGCAGTCGCAGTGACCTGGTGGACCTGGAAGACCTTTCTCACCCTTTTCCCCTACGAGATACAGACCTGCAAAGAAGTGCAAAGTGTATGACGTCAAAGTTGTGTAGCACACACATGGCCAGTACAATCTAATATGGTAAACACAGCTGATTGTTTATGTGTGTGAGCTGCTGTACCTGAGGCAGGTGGACCAGGTGGCCCAGGGTGGCCGTTGGAGCCTGGGGGACCTGGGGGGCCCATGATTCCAGGGGATCCACCATGGCCCTTCATGCCCTGTGCAAACCAAGCAACATACCAATTATTAGATTAGAAAATACACACAAATAGACACAGTGGAGGCTGCCTGCATGTCACTGCCACTTGTGCTTTGTTGTGATAAGACTGACAAACTTGTGAGAGTCTCTAGAGTGTCGGTCTCCTCACAAGAGTTGAGTGATTCTGCCAGGATGCTTTAGAGAAGTGTGAATTATCTGAGGCATCTTACACACCGATCCAAGCCTAATTTATGTCAAACACACACATACAGTAATGCATACTTTTGCGTAACTCTTGCTTGTCCTTTGCCCCCCACCTGTTTGCCTCTCTTTCCTGGGCGCCCAGTCGGTCCTCTCTTCCCTGAGACTCCTGCTTCTCCCTTTGGTCCTTGCTCACCCTTGGAGAGGAGCAAAGTCATCAGCAATCAGATTACATCAAATCAAGTGTTCTCATTCTTTCATTTTTCTTACCTTCTGCCCAAGCATTCCTGGCAAACCGATGGAACCCTAAACAGAGACAAAATAGGAACTTGATGTGAAAAAAAAAAGCTTTAATTTCATTCACAGCAGGGACTAATGAATTGTATAAGGCTAATTTAATCTGCCTCTGAAACAGACATAACATTAAAGCAGCTTGTAAAGACATGGAAGGCAATGTCGTATGAACATCTGTTATCCAATATTTGAAGAAGCTGGTTGAAGCGTACTTTACAGGCTAATTAAATTATTACATCCATTAGGAGACCGCATGAGTTGAGATGCTCATTGCCCTAGCCAAGCATAAATGGGCTGAATGTAGCTGCACAACATAACGCTTTCCAAAATGATTTCAGACCCGCAATAAAAGAAACATTTCTATCAAACCTTGTCGCCTTTTGGTCCTGCTGAGCCAGCATCACCACGAGTTCCCTTTCAGAAAAGACGAGGGAAGGGGAGGAGAAGATAAAATGTAGGATATAGTAGTTTTGTAGTAACAGCAGATATCGTGGAACTTGTATTTCTAAACTTACCTTATCTCCTTTGTAACCTGGTAAACCCTGGAAAGATAGACACGGAGTTGAAGAGCAGATTAGACAGAAAATTCAGTAAGAGTCCAATGTGTAGGCTGGTGCACATGATGTTGTCTAACCTTTGTTCCCGGTGGTCCCCTCAGTCCTGGTAAACCCATGAGTCCTGAATCACCCTTCTCACCCTTTAAAAAAACATATATCTCCATTACTATCTATGTCGTATACTTTTTGCCACATCAGGATCCCCTGTAGTCAAAACATGTCTGTGCTCATAGCAAGATCTACCTTGGGTCCCTCTGGACCAGGCCATCCTTGAAGTCCTTGTTTCCCTGGAAGGCCTGGAGCTCCAGTACGACCCTACACAAACAAAAAACATCAATGCCATCACTCAGTGAACCTGCTGGTGCATTTTCTGCTCCCTGTTCAGTGAAATGTGGTGCAAAAGTGACATGAAGATGAAACCGTTTCCTTGCTTTAGGTTTCATGAGGGATTTTGTGGGACTGTGAAGGCTCATGTACACCTACACTTTCTTGCAGATAGAAGCGCAGGAGGAAATATCATCAAGTGAAAGATGAAATAACTCCCACATGCTGGCCTTTAACTTGCACTGGACTTTGTTGGAAATGCAGCATTTTGATCCTTAAACCACTGGCTGTGTATAAACATGGACTAACACAACTTGAATTTGTGAGTTATATAAAAGTTCACCAACTGCACAGTTGTCTTCAATGGGGAAATTAGCTATAGAGACCAAAACATATTTTGTAGCAGGATGTCAACAGGTTTAGTTCTGCTGTGAAGTTGGGTATTTTAACATGGAGGTCTATAGGGATTCACTCGCTTTTAAACCAGCCTCAAGTGGTCATTCGAGTAAACTGCAGTTTTTGGCACTTCTTAGTTGGCTCCATTTTGCAGAGATTGCTGCTTGCTAAAAACTCTTCATTATGAAGGTCTAATGCCAGAAATGTTGTATTACCAATATGTTTAGTGCAAATAAAAGGACAGTGGGTGGGAGTTTTCTCTTCTTTTAGTGCTAAAAGAGTCTGATCTCTAACTCTATCAGGCGTTTGCCTTGTTCTCTTCAGTGCAGTCTTATTATTGTGGTTCATCAGAGACAAATGAGCACAGCTTCAACAGCGCCACTTACTGCTGCTAATTAGTGGACAGGAATATGGTCTTAATTAATCTCACTCTATTGCCAGCTCCCTCCGAGCAGAAGAACCAGATATGTTATGCAACAGCCTCGCATCTCGGTGACACCTAGACAAGTATCGCAGAGCTGCCGCCATGCTAGCAGCGTGCTCTCATTTAGCTGCCTGTCATTAAAACCGCAGCCTGTGGAGACACCGTGGACCTGCTGTGTGTGCTGGGTGATTTATCACGGAGAGCAAAAGCACTTAGGGAGATTAAAGTGCAGAAGTGGAGTGCTGGAGAGGCTGGATCAGCAGGACTAGAGTCCAGTGCGAGGGCTAATGGAGCCAGGCCAAAGGAAAGCAGAAGAAAGAGGAAGAAGGAGCGGAGGAGAAGAAAGGAAGAAGGGAATGACGGAGGGGTGATGAGCATGAGAATGACGGGAGGCGTCCAGGGAAGGTGATCAAGCTTTGCTACGTGGTTGCAGCGGCTACTGAGACTAATGTAGCATGACCCATTTAGCAGCTGCAGAGGATATTCCGAGCGCATCAATAGACAAATCACATCACAGAGAATGAGGATGCATCGAGGGGACGAGAGAGGCAGAGAGGGGGAGAAATCCAGATCCTATTATTCCAAGGGCATGCGAGATGGACCGGAGAGAAATGAGCGAGACGCGCAGGAGAGGAGGAGCAGCTCACCTTTGACCCTGGACGTCCAATTTCTCCCTGGAGGAGGACAAATGAAGGGAGAGGAGATGTACACTCATTAGAGTCGAGAGGCACAAGGACACACATCTATAGAAAACTGCATTAGAGACATAATTCACCAAAAAACACACACCTTCTCCCCCCTTGGTCCTCTGATGCCAGGTAATCCACCATGACCCTGAAATATGACACCAGATTTATATGCAGCTCACATATCCCATATTGAACATGGTGCATTTGGAGGAGGATCAATACTAAAAAGGTCATTTCCACGCTTGCTTAACAATATTTCCATCTACTATCTTAAAATGGACACGGCAGTCTGATTACATTGTCTGACAGATGATTTCATTAGAAATTGTGTAGTATTTTATTTCAAAACAAGGCCTTACCTCTGGGCCTCGTGGTCCTGGAGGTCCTGGAGGTCCAGGTTCACACCCCGGTGCCACAGGTTTTTCTTTTTCCTGCACCTCTCCTCCGAAAACACTCGGTTCTAACATGCTCGTGCCTTCCTTTTATTAGAACAATCACACACAAAATACAAGTGAGCAGCTAAACAAATGTGTAGAGGAGGGTTTATTCTGCAAGCAGGTGTGTGTGTGAACACCTACGGGGCTGCCCCGCTTCCAAAGCTGAGGCGGAGGAGGGAAGAGCGGCGGCGGAGGAGGTGACATGAGACAACAGGGGTCGAACCTCACCGGCTCATCCAGCAACCTGAGGGCTGAGAGGAGACCAGAGAGAGGCTGCCGTGATGAACTGCAGCAGGGAAACGAACATGCAGCACGTTATGTAACCCTTCCCTTCTGCAGCACCGGGCTATGCCTTACCTGAGCGGGCTGAGAGGATGCCGTCCATGTAAGAGTGACGGGAAAAGGCCCATGCAGGACACAGAAGAATGTGGAAGGACATGGCAATTTTCACCAGATCCATGCTTGCTGCTTTACTTCCCCTAAAAAAACACAACACAAGCTGTCACACACACTCTATTTCTGTTTCCTGAGCTTAATGCAGACACTGGCAGCTGTCACTTTTCCTTATTCCCTCTTGAGGGTGTCAGTATTTCATCACTTCCAAACACCCCCTCCCTCTCCCTCCCTCTCTCTCTCTCTCCTTATGGCATAATAAACTTGTTGCAGCTCCACACTGCAGCAGATGCAGCCACCGCTGTAATTCCAGCCGTGCACCAACCCCCTCTGTGCCAGAATTAGACCTAAGGGAGGCCACTCACTGACAAGTCATGTCAACAATAGTAAGGTTCATTCACACACACATTTTTTTAGTGCACTTCCAGTACATGTAAGCAGGACAGTGGTAGTGGCCACTGTGATTTGCAGAAATAAGATGCTCACTTATTAACCTCCTAATTAGTGGCTTTCTTCTTGTATCTGTTAAAAAGTACACCCCGTCCTAATGATCCTTTAAACTGACGGGATGTCATCTCACACCCACTAACACGCAGGACCCCCCCTCCTTACCTTCCACTTGCAATTGTGCCGCACTTGTAGACGCGCAGTCTGGCGCTCCTCTCACCTAAATGAAATGCGCGGTGTGCAGCTCCAGGGATTGTGGCTCCTCTGACATTTGTAGCCAATCTGGAAGCCTAATAAATCTGATCCACTTATCGACCTGCTTTGCTTTTTTTTTTTTTTTTTTTTACCCTCCTCTCTTCTCCTCTTCCGCCGGTCAATAACAACACAATTGTAGAGGGACGGAGCTTTTTTCTCCCGCCGCTGAAAGCCCAGCAGAGGCCACCGAGTGGAGCCGACACAGCGGTGCGAGCTTCAGTCCCAGCGGGTCTGGATCACAGGCGCATTAACCAGAATCTCATCTGGATCTACTTCAGGACAGCTGGCTGGATAACGGGGGAGGCTGTGACACCGTGGCTCGCGCTGCTCTGGCACGTTTCGTGTCCACGCCGGAGCTGCTGGTCTCTTTTGTAGGAGGATGGCGCCCCCTGCTGGACGCTTAGATCCACGACAGAAATAGAAATCAATATTATGACATAATGTGAGCATCTTACGGTCGTCCTCAAATGTATTCATACACTTCCATTAAAGAAAAGGCAAAATTCACAATATTCACTCTGACAACTAGAAACTGAAAAAAGTAATAATAAATAAAAATTTGCTCAATTATAATTTAGTGAAATGAGACATTGCTTTTGAATTGTGGTTGAAAAGAATAAAAAAAAAAAAAAAAAAAACTGCGGATGAGCAGTGGGCCAAAATCAAAATAGCTGTCAACAGGTGCAGAAGTCTGATTGACAGTTACAGAAAACACTTGATTGCAGTGATTGGCTCAAAGGGTTGTTCAACAACATATTAGTTCACGGGTCCCATCATTCTCATTGCAATGTCATGATTTTCATTTTATTATTGTTATTATTGTTGTTGTTGTTGTTTTTGTTTTTTTTGTTTTTTTTCAATTTCAACTTATTTCAGTAACAGCTGTTTTTTTCTTTCTTTAATGGGAGGGTATGAATACATTTGAGGACGACTGTATTTGTCATAATGCAAATGGAAAGGTTTTAAAATACACTGCTTTATTTTATTTTTTTTAAATAGGAAAAAGCCAACAACTACTGAAGAAAATCAAATTGAAACAAGAAAAAAACGTAAACTTTTCTTGTTCATGAATATGGTAATTAAGTCTGTAACACACAAGCAATTATTTTTAAGAACACAAAAAAAGTTAGAACAACCTACTAATAATTCCCCTATCTCACTGTAGTTTGTGGGATAAACATTAATTCACTAGAAGCTGTCTTAACTCAGAAAGATTTACGCAAACTGTTGCTTTCTTTCTTTCTTTTCTTTTTCTTTTGAACCCAAACATCTTTTGTCTTGATGTTGGTCCTCAATAGAAAAGCCATGTGATGAAGCCACAGACAGCACAGACAATAAAGTGCTTCATTAACTGACTAAATGCATCAAGAGATCAAACTTAGAACAATATTAAGTATGTTTATAAGTTTCAAATGGACAGAAACAATGGAATTTCACTGTGGACACAACGACACACAGAAATATTTAACAAAAGGGATATATCATTTATTACCATATTCATTTAGTCAAAGTCAGAGTCAAGGCTGTCTGAAAAAAATGTACAACAAGGTATAAAAAAAAAAAAGCAACTCAGTGTAAAGAATATAATATAAATGCAGGTGCTTAGCATAGTCCCTTATCCAGCTGGTCGGTATTGGACCAAATTGACCCCCCTGTCCTTACATCTAACAGAAAAGGATTTAGAAAATGCATGAATACAAAACATAATAAAGTGCAACCTTGTAACAATCGAAGTCCGTAACACCCAGTGGCTTAAAAATATGAGTAAAAATACTTTTAACACCCATTTTTAAGACACGTAAACAGATAAGACTTAACAAGCAGTAAATGCAATATAATAGAAAAATAAACACTAACAGTGATCGATAATGCGAGGAGAGCTAAAGTGTCAGAAGTGTGTAGTTTCTGGGCAAGCAGCAGCAGTAGAAGTTTTAGTTACACAATGAAATCCCAAAGAGCCTCTTTAGGAAGCCTTGACTGAGAGATGTTAAGAAAATCCACAAGCTGCAGGAAGGCTGACTCATTTGATGATTTAAAAAAAAAGCCTCCTGCACACAAAACAGTGTGGCAGCTTTGTTGTGATGTAACAAAATGTACTGACTTAAATAGAAAAACCTACTTAAAATGAAAACATAGAGCACACTTGTTGTTTTTCTCCATGAACATACAGCGTAATACTTAATCCACTGCTGTTTGTGTGTGCTCTATGTCATCAGTATATTAGGAAGAGGAGGAGGTGGCATCCTTTAAATAGGCAATAATATCTTTTCTTTCCCTTTTCTTTCTGATCCCGGAGAAGATCATCTTGGTACCAGGAATGTACTTCTTTGGATTTTCAAGGTAGATGTTTAGAGTTTCCTCATCCCATACGATACCTAACAAAAAACATTAAACACATATAAGATTTGCAGTGTTTTTTTTAAATGAATGTGAAGTTACTTGTCCATTATATTTCAAAGCTGCATGCTCTCACATCCTGTGACTGTGTTATTGCCTGACGTCAGAGCAGAGCTTAGAGGCAAACTCAGTCGCTGCTTGTTCAGACCTGCAGCTCTGACTGTCAGGCACAGAAAATGTAAAAACTAAGCTGCTTCTCAGCACTACAGCAGAAATACAGATAGAAATGTTCCTGGGTAGCTGGAGAAGCTTCAGCAATAGCGTTGCCACACACTATACTGTGTTCAAACTCTCCTTTGAAATCAATACAAATAAAAAAAAAAAAAAGCTCAGCTTAGTTCAGTTCAGGGCTTGAATACTGAATCTTAAGGTTGTGTACACAAAAATGAAGAATCATGCTGTACTACTTGAGGTGATGCATTATTTTTTTTCTCTCTAGTATATTGAACACACAGCTGTGGTTACCATGGTGCTCTGTCAACAGTAAAAGTGACCAAATTTGTAGAAATATGAAGTCAAAGTTAAGCTCAAGCTACACTCTAAGAGAAACCTGATTAAAAGAAAGCAGGATTTTTGTGGGTACGTGCAAAATAAATCGACTTTTTTTTGTCACAATGAAGGCATTAGTACAGAAACTGATTTTATATTAAATTCTATAGTTTCCACAAGAAGAACTAAACACCCAGTGGGTGGAACAGACTATTTCCTGCACTGTAGTTTATTGTTGCCACAGAAACTGTTTATCTTCTTCCATATTACATATGTCTCTACAGTGAAATACGATGGAGGGCCTCTAAAAGCAGCTTCGCCTCTTCAGACTGATGCATGATTCATAACTTCAGTATTAATGAGGATCAGGAGGAATCACGTGTTGCATTCATTCCCATTCACTGTGTTGTTGAGCTGGCATTCCTCCACATTGATCTGTCAGATCAGAGTACAAATACATCCTGGCTTCTGATTTTCCTTCTTTTGCCTTTGTACCTTCATCTTAAACAGTGATCGGCATGTATGGACAGCAGTTTATGACTCAACCAGTCAGTCAGCTTTTCAATAGATAATTTCCTCTATGCTTGTTGGAGTTCAGGTGGTCTGTACAGCAGTGATCCATACCTTTATCGATGTTGGCCTGCGTGTAGGAGTAGCCCGGCGACTGCCCCGTCCTCCGTCCAAACAGCCCCCACAGGTTGGGTCCCTGCTTGTGGCGTCCCCCCTCATCCACTGTGTGACACTGGGAACATTTCTGGACAAACACCTTCTTCCCTTTCGCAACGTCTCCCATGACCAGCAGCTGGGGAGGGGGAGATCAAAAGAAAGCAAACAGTGTACAGTCAGTCACACACAGGACAGGAAAATATGAAAAGAGTGAGAGAACACAGCCTAGCAGTTACACAAAATGTAGCCCAGGGCGCATGTGCAGATCAGTTAAGTTTGACGCTTGTTGTTAAAGTTATGAAACGTGTTAGTAAGTTCAGAAAACAAGGGAAAAAAATCTGCTAAACTTGAGAAGTTTCAGATAATACACATCAAAAAGTTTGTCATCTGGAGCGGAAACACTAAGTTGCTGTTTATTTCTCTGTCTTGGTGGGAAACGATCGCTTGCACTCGAGGTAATTATCCAAAACAACAAACACAAAGAGGCACATCCTTCCGCAAATGGCACTGTGTGTTCCAGAAACTTACCTCCAAGTACGAGTTGTTTCTCCCTTTTCAACACTTCTCAGATTGTTGTTGTTGTCTGTAAACTTAAAGTGTCTCAATGTTCCTTGATGTGCCGGATTTGAACCTCAAACCAGAAGATCTCAGATTTCGGAAGGGCGCGGCGTAGTTGGGTTGAATAATGTGTGACACGGCGTGGAGGTCACACCCACCTCCATGGGCAGGTGAGGTATGTTTGTAATGTGAGGGAGCAAAGTGCCGGGAGCAGTAGTGGCTGTGAGATGGACTGGTTTGGGTCATGTTGTCCCAGTAGGGGAGAAATTACATTTTGACGTTTGTGACATTATATGGACGGTGTGTGCCACCGAGCTGATGACAATAGCGTGGACTTTCTCATAGACTTTAATCTGATTGTCCTGGCACGACCCCCTACATGGCGAGGGTGTCCTCACATTGTTCACATCGCGCATCGGTAAATTGCGCAATACGGTAAATATATAATAAGGACAAATGTATCGTATTCTTGTCCGTGCTGCTGGTACTTGTGATCAGAATAAACTAGGTAGAAGTCTGAATTCAAAAACACTCTTTTTTTTCCCCATAACAGACTTTTTCCCTTTTTAAAGCAGCAGCTGCAGCGACACTGTGTCCAGGGGTTAAATCAGGCGAGAGCACATCAGGGTTGAGCTCCGCCTCCTGCAAATCCAAAACAGACCCATCTCCTTCAGCGCTGCAAAGTGCCAGGAAACTCTCGAAATCCGCTTTTACACAATGTCTTCAAATGAAAAACAAACAAAGCAAAACCTATAATATGTATAATATGTATATCATTGACATATTACATTTATTAGTGTATGTCCATACTGTCTCCAAACCGAGACAGGGGCTGTGCGCAATTACGCACGTTGAAGAGCAAAGATGACTTCATCAGTTTTTGTTTTTGTTTTTTTTTTACATTGAAATCATTGAGAACAAAGCAGTTATGCTCAGGATGAATCCACCGCCAGCATAGTTCTCACTACATTTTTACTATTTACAGGAAAAGTTTGATCATCATTTACTCTGGAGGTTTTATTTTTCTAGCATGGCAAGTAAATCTTTGCAGGGAAACTTTTCAGTTTTAAAATGCCTGAATGCAGTTATATTTTCAGCACTTACATCATTGCATGGAACTCATCAAATCACTCATGAATGAGTGAGTGAATGTGTAAGTACTTTTAAATCGACAATGCTTAGACGTAATGATGTATCCATGTGAGGAATGTTAGGGTTTCCAGATACATAAATGAAATGATTACAATTTTAATTAAAGAAGTAATAATTAAACAACCTAAATTGTCTTTGACTGTATTTGGGTCTAGGCCGAAAGTAGGGTAATGTGTCTCCTGTGGGACTTCTCAAATTAATTTAAAGGGGTGCTTTGTCCCAAATTACCAAATGATAAACAACATTCATGAAAAAAGCACAACAAAAATTAGCATGCGTTGGCTTCTCTCTAGTGGTATCTGGCTGTTTAGACATTTAGATGTAATATGAGACAAAAGTAAGCCAAAGTACGCCAGTACAGTGGAGGTCAGTAGAATTTAGTTGGTGGTTTCACAAAATACATTTAAAAAGTGGAACAGCAACATCTGTTTGTTGTTACTGTTGACAATTTATATCCACAGTCTAAAGCGTTCCCTGGAACTACTTTTTGGAATTACTACTAACTACTGAAGGAATACTCCCAATTCAACTGCCTGCAGTCTGGTCTGTGAGCCCCAACCTCAGTGGTCAAGGACTCCCCCTCCTAACAAATCCCAGTCATTAATCTGATTAAGTATTAAGTATAGTGATGAGTCTGTTCCATTTAGGTGTCACATCACAAAGCCAACATACATAATACCAGTATCCTGGAAATTAGAGACACAATAGCAATGCAACCGTCATTAGTGGGATTAATTATTCATGTGTGTTTAACGCATGTCTGTTGCAGAAAAGGCTGTGAGACCAGAATTGTCTCAGTTATTATTTAAAAGTGAGAGCAGGAACTAAAAAATGTGTTCACTCATTATGTTGATTACTTGAAGTGTTCCATTAGAAAATAGTCAAGTTCATGGCACTTCAGGTATGGAACTGTGGATGACAAAATGACTAATGTGGAGTGCAATTTTGAACACAGGATTTAGAAATTTCATTAATGCATCCATGCAATATTGGCATTGCCCTGAAGGTATTAAATATAGAAATCTAATGCAATATAATACGAATAAGAGACATTTAAAACAGCCACTAGACATTCAATGCAATGAAATGTAACCAAATAAGTTAGCAGAGACAGATTTAAAAGTCCATTCTTAAAATTACAGTGATTCTCTCTTTGTTCTCAGTATGTTGGATGGAAGAGAAAAAGGTTCATCAGTTCAAAATGGGCTAATGCAACCTGCTGGGTGTGTCTGGCAGGATGACAGGTTTTGAGGTGTGAAGTTAGGAGTGGTGATTTCAGGGAAGGTGAGGTACTCAAACTTGTGAATGTAAGAGTAAATTCATTCTTTGTATTGCCAGAGGCAAGCAGACAGGGCCATGTGAAAAGAACAACTCAGAAGATTGAAATGTGTTTGTCACAATCCAAAACACCATCGTGGATCCATCACACATCCAACGTGTTTTTCAGCATCGTTCCTCGTCTCCTCATTAACCTGTTGGAAACCACTCAGACCTTGGTCGCAAAAACCTTCTTTGTGGTTTGTGTTTTCAAGTTGAGGCCTTTGTGTCAGCTACCAGCTGCAAGCTTGTTTACTGGATGTTAATTTGAATGAACAGTTATATGAATGGTGACATGTTGATTCTTTAACTCCAGAGTGGAGACAAATGTCTCAGTGGAGACTTTGACTGTGTGTTTGTCTCCCCCCAGTGGTCAAAGACTATAATGAATGAATGGTCCTGACCAAGTCTTGTTGTATTGACTCGTATTGACAGTGTAACAGTGGGCTAGTGTAGAACTGAAAAGCAATGCATAATCTGTGAAAAAATAATGAAAAGTAGGCTTAAAGAAATAAAAATTAAATGGAGTTACCAACAAAAAAAATAATTTAATGAATGAAATGTATTTTAAGTCAATGTCATGATTGAAATACTTTTTCAGGGAATGAATGCTTTAGTTTAAGGTGTGTCTCTTTGTTGATTTAACAAAAATATTTAGTACTCTCAATATGCTCCTGCAAAGGTGGCATGATACTGGTTTTGATTCTATGTCATGTAACTGGTTTCAGCGTTACCTGTCTTATTGTCACAGTTTGTGATTTAAGGAAAATGATCGGTCTGTATTTTTACCTCTGTCAGAGGAGTACCACAAGGCTCAGTTTTGGGTCCTGTTCTGTTAACAGTGTAAAAAACAATTTTACATCCACTTTACCAAATTGTAGTGCCCATCTGTCCACAGCTTTCAGCCATTTAAATCCTACAGCAAACATTTGCAAGATTTTGATTTCAAATTAGTCCTGAATGCAAAAAAAGACCAAACATATAGTCTCCTCTGGAGATGTTGTAGACAACAGCCTGAATATTACATCACTGAGTGGACAGAGTGTAGAGAGGGACTATAGTATAAATATATGGTATCTGGCTGGATCAAAAACTTACATTAATTTTCATATTGCCACACATGTCAGCAAGCTATGACACGTAATTGGATATTTGCTTCCACTGTGAAAGCCCTTTATTAAGTTAACTACTCAGCTCTAAGATTCATGACTTGTGATAGCGATTCAACTCATCACAGCTGACTTTAATCAAGTGTTCTGGTTGTCTCCAGCACTAAGACACGACGGACATTGGTTTCTTTTTATTTATTTATAAGGCACTGAATGGCAAATTGCTACCATATATAACTTCTTTGTTCAACTGTTTTTAGTTTTTGCACCGCACACACATAAAACATTTTACAATACAAAAAGCATTAAAACAAACCTGTACTTTAAAACCTTTATTTCAAACAACTCCACTCTTGAATGTAACTGTTTAACTGTGTTTGTTTTTTTTCCTCATTAATATTGCCCTATTTATTCTGTTTTCATTGTACTAACATCATTGCAAATGAGGGCATTCCCTCAATGAGATTTAAATAAAGTTGAATTAATGAATTCTATTAATTAGAATTAGAAAATGGTTTTATCATGAAAGACACTAGCTTCCTGGTGATTCTTAATATATCAGGGCTGGACATAAGCATAGTCTTTACAGTGCTGTCTATTGCACACATAGGAGGCTTTATGACGTGTGAATCTGTGTGGGTTAGTTAGTACTTGACAAGCAGAACAATCTGAAAACAAGACTTGTTCCCTCGCTGGGTCACCCTGTCCAGGGCTGCGGTGGCTGCAGGTACCAGGTCTCTGCCAAGGTGAGCTCTGCTGCACCTTAGGGTCCTGCAGCTGGGCCTAGAGAGGATAGTGAAGTGACGACTGAGTGGGTGTGTGCTGTGCTGTGGTATTTACAATGTGGACTTACAACTGAGTGTTAAGAGGTTCAGTATGGGGAGACCTGTTATTGTAGTGGAGCAGGATGAGTAAAGCAGTACACTGGGGCAACAGCAGGAGGCGATGGGTGGGTGACATGACCGCGAGTCCTTAGGAGTTTACAGATAGTCTTTTGATTAAACCTTTTTTAAAGGTTATTTGTGTTCTGATCGGTGCTGAGTTTATTGCTCAGCGTGAGTCGAATACCTGAAGCTTGTCAGCCGTTTAGTTATTGATGAGGATGGGGTGCGAAAGTGACGCGGCACAGAGATAATTTTGTACGACTCAGTGTAAAACAAACACAAACCACTCTTTAAACCTTTATTGTTCTTGTTTAGGATGTGTTTTCCATCACAATAATATAACTTTATTGAACATTTTGTAGAATCTCTCTAGCATTTTTTAAAAGTGCTTAACTTTAAGCATTTGTCCTGACAGTAAAAACACCTGATGGTAATATTTGCATCCTGTAGCAGACTTCACTATAAGCCTCTTCACTGCCCTTTATGCTTTAAAGGCTTTGTCTTCTTCTTCTTCTTCTTCCTCTTCCTCTTCCTTTTCTTCTGAGCTGCTTGTAAACTCAAAATCTCCAGCCCTGTAAGAAGAAAACATACAGTTTGTATTACTTACAACAAATCTCGCAGTCAAATATAAATGGATGTTAAAATGAAATGGAAATAAAGGTTAAATAGAATATAATATATAAATACATCCAAGACAAATACAACAATCCCCTCAAAGAGCAGAAATAAGTGAACATGAGAAAAGAGTTGCGTAATAGTGTCAGTAAGAGAATGAGTTACCTACCAGTGCAAACCAGCGTTCAGTAACCTCTGACTGGCCAGGGACCTAAGAAAGCTCCAGTAAGGACTATTTCTCCCAAATCTTTGGGGAAGCACTGGGTTCGGTGCCTCTCGGACATCGGGACAGTCTGCACACATCTGGATCAACTTGGAGGACCTTCCAAACCTCTGGGGCTTATTGGGGCTCGACGGTGCCCTTCCATCCCTCGGGTCACTGTCCCTCCCGAAGCGCATGGGTATGTTGGCGTGCAGGTGGCGAGGAATGGAGGTGGGCGGGTAGATCCTGATGATGGTCGGGAGGCTGTGCTTGCTGGTGGTGGGGCTCACGTGTATGTTGTAGCTCTCCAGGTCTAAACTCCTGCGGATTTCACCTTTAATCTGGAAAGAGATGATTGGATCAGAGGATCCAATCATTTTTTAATTTATTTTTTTAACTACAGTTAAGAATCTTGAAGTAATTGTTGTCTTTCAGACCAATCATTGAATAAAACGAGCAAGTGTATCACCTTAGGCTCTAAAAGATTGCACTGTGTTTTTTAATGACCCAAATGATCATTTCATAACAGTAATTCTGTATGTCTCAGGGCTAAAACGCCTTCAAAAAACCAACAGCATTTTCTGCAATTTATTTAACTGAATTTACCAGTTGTAGTCACAAAAACAGGTAAAGGTTTGTAAAGTTGTAAAAGGGATATACAGTGCCTCATCACTGTACAACAGATGATTTCAAGTTTCAGGTTTTAAAACAAATATTTTCCCCAATAAGATGGTCCATTACTTTGCTGATACATATTAGGAGGTATATTTATTTATTTATTTTACTGCATTTATTTATTTCTGTTCATTAATTCACCACTATGGCAGTTACGGGACAAACCACAAGGATTGCAGGGCTGCATTTAATAAATATTTCTACAATCAGTCATTTGGTTTGTCTATTAAAGTTCAGAAAACAGTCTAAGTCCAAGATAATGACTTTGATTTTCTTGTTTTATCTGCCCAAAATGAAAAAAAAAATACGGTTAACTAGTATATATGATAGTAAAAGCATCAAATGCTTACTTTTGAACAGTAGTGATTAGAGATTGTTTGACATTTTCACTCAAAAAATAAAAGATTAAGTAAAGAAATTTTTATATTGATCCACTAATCAGCTTTCAGCCATTCAGAAAACAAAGACCATGAGTCAAGCAGGCCAGTAGAATAAATATCTGCTTCATTAAATGTCCCTTACCTGTTGGTGCGGCTGTTTCCTCGCGGAGTGTTTGCCGTCATTGCTGATCAGCAAAGTTTTATCACTGTGTATTGATTTCCCATACACCTGAAGGTCAAATGCTCCAAGACCCCACAGCATCAGAAGCGCTGACAGCATCATTGTCGTCAACATGTTAGCAGCTATATCTGATAACTTCTCTCAGGACACGTACCTTATTTCATACTGATCACATCGTCTCCTGTTATTAAAGACCTCCAAATACATACGTCACCAGTGGCGTGTGATAAAGACACACATGCACCTGTCCTGCACACATGAACATACGTCTTCAGCCTCATTTAAAGTCATCAAATTCCTGACTCATTCACTAATCATCTAGCTCGAGAGAATGTATTTGAAAAAGTATGTATGTCCTAATTGGGCTGCTGAATAAAACAGTCCTCATGTTTAGTTTGTGTTTTTTTGTCAAGCCTTTGAGGAGATCATACAAACACTAAACGCAGACGCTCAACAGAAATACTGAATGGCACCTTTCATGTTCAGAATATATAAATAACTTGTATTGTCCAGTTCTACAGGGATTGCATGCTTTTGTAAGCTTTGCTAATTATATCCAAGTTGGCGATATCAATTAGGACCAAATCCCACAAGAGCAAAAGGGTGTTTTGATGAACTGTCAGACAAGAACCCATCAAGCAGCAGTGAAATCATCAAAAGCACAACAAGTTGATATTCCTCAGTCTTTCATTTGCCTTCACAGTGACTAAGAGACATCCATCTGACAGTTGTCAACAGATGGACATAACAGTGTTAAGCATTTCAACAACCTCACTGCTAATTAATACCGTGTATGTAATCACAGATTTAATTCTGCCATCCTTGTTATCTTCTGTGTAGCTGCAATGTGGCAGTTTCTTAATTAAACATTTCATTTTAAACATATTGTGAATTAATACCCTCCCTAGCAACGAAATTGGTGACAGCCTCATATGGCAATCTGATCTGCGCTGAAGAAAACTGACGCAACTCTTTGTCTTTCTTTATGTGAAATACAAAATACAGCATTTAAATTCTAACATTAGCTTTGAGCAGAACAAGCTATAAATACAACATATATATAGTCTGGACATAAAGCTGTTGTAATAAATGTAGAAAACAGTTGTGTGTTTACACAAGCAGATTAACTGACTTATTTTGATATATATGTATTATATATATTACATCTACAGTGCCTATAAAAAGTATTTTCCAACTTGGGAGTTTTCCCTTTATGCTGCTTTTCAGCATTGAATCATGGTCAGTATAGTTTGTTTTTTTTAAGGGGAATTTACAAAAAAAAAAAAGAGAGAGAGAGAGATTTCAGCAAATCAATGTCAATAAACGAAAAATATAAATGTATAATAAGTGATTCCATAAGTATTTATCCACTTTAAAGTGATTCACCTAATTCAACACAGGTGCAGCAAACCGGTGATTGAAATCACACAATTAGTGAAATGGAGATCATCTGAGTGCAGTTAATGTAGTATAAAGACGCCTTTTTCTGGAAGATCCGGTTCCTGGTGAATCAGTTTTCCTTGGATACAACTACACCATGAACACAAGTGAAGACTTCAAGCAACTTTATGACCATGTTATTGAAGAGCATACGTCAGGGGATGAATACAAGAACATTTCCAGGTCAATAAATATTCCTTGGCATACAGATGAGCTGATCATCTAGAAATGAAAGGAATATGGCTCATGTGTAAAACTGCCTAGAGCAGGTTGTTCTTAAAAAAATCAAGTGATGGAGGCCACCAAGACAGGAGTTACAAGATAGAAGAGACTGTTCATACAAGAACTGTCACTTGTTCTTCACCAATCAAAGCTTTATGGGAGAGGGACAAAGAGAAAGCCACTGTTAAAAAAAGCTTATATTTTTGGGCCACACCACACAATGCTTGTCGTCACAAACACACCATCCCACTGTGAAGCATGGTAGTGGCAGCATCACGATGTTGGAACGCTTCTCGGCAGCAGGCCCTGGAAGACTTGTAAAGGTGGAGGGTAAAATGAGTGCAGCAAGGTGGAAGGAAATCCTGTAGGACAACCTGACACAGTCTGTAAGACAACTGAAACCTCAGAGAAAGCTTGTTTTTCAAAGCTTTACAGAAAAATACAACAAGATGACTATTCTAGAGTGGCTGAGTCAGAGCCCAGACCAAAATCCAACTGAAAATTTGTAGCTGGACTTAAAAAGGCTGTTCAGTCACAATCCCACACTCACAGAGCTTGAGCAGTTTTACAAAGAAGAATGGGGTAGAATCGCAGTGTCCAGATGTGCAAGCCTAGTTGACACCTATTCACACAGGCTCAGGGCTGCAGGTGCTAAATACTGACTTGAAGTGGGTGAATACTTATGCACTATTCATTTATATTACACTTTATATTTTTAATGAATTGACATTATTTTATAGAAATCAGTTTTCAGTTTGACAGGAAAGAATATTTTCTTGTAAATTCTTGCCAAAAAAACGATTAAATTGACTGTGATTTACGGTTGAATAGTAATGAAAGTGGAAAACCTTCAAGGGGGGTGAACAGGTTTTACAGGCGCTGAATGTCCACCTGAAAAATGTGAGTCCAATATTCCTGCTTGTATTAGCTCTGTTTGGATCTCTAGAATAAAGAGAGAATTGAGATTGAGATGAATAATAATGCAAAAAAAAAAAAAACAACAAAAAACCTTACAACCTACAATAACTCTCCAGTATATTTTTAAATATTAGCAATCAAAAAAAGAAGAAAAAAATCCCTACCTGTGATGCACTTCAAATAGTGATTTTTCTGTTGTTTTACAACACTGTCCCCGACACATCAGCTACACTGAGTTCTGGCTTTGTCTTCCAGATCTGAGGCCAACAATCTTTTTTCTGCATTGAGCTGTTAAAGGTTCCTGCAGGAACCCCAAGCAAGGTTCCTTGAATATCCCCAGAGTTTGTTGAGGCTCTCCTTCCTAAATCTAAGACAGAAGAATTGAGCCAAATGAAATGCATATTAAGGTTATATTGTGTCAAGCCTATAAACTACAGAACATAGCTGATGTTGGCTGGATATATCACTATCAGCATGTGTGTTGTCTGATGTGTGCTAAAAAGAGCTTTTAGGATTCATTACTTGTCAGACTATGTTTACAACACACACGTGCAGCACATGTAGCAGAGTACGTATCACAGCTGAGCAGACAGTGGTGCAGAATCTAACAGCACCTTCACAGTAAGCTGCTAACTAGTTTGTGAAAAACAATTCTGGACTGTTCATAAACAATAAGCACATAATGTTCTCTTCTAGATATCTACACATATACATAAAGAATGTCTGGTAATATATTGATATTGTTTTTTTTGGAACCCTCAAAACTGGCCTCTGCATCAGCCTCAATGATCCAATGTCAGTCGAGCTCATGTATGTGCTCAAAAACTATTTGGACAACATCCATGTACTCTGTAGTGTGCAACAGATATTGTTTTATGATCTACTGGAAAGTTTTCTGTTTCTTTTGTTGCCTGTAGTGTATTTTATTTTGTGTGGTTGGGCAACAGAACTTCCACACGCTTCCCTGAAGGAGGCACAAGCCCCAACTTGTGGGACTCTTTCTGAGAATACAACTATATGTCAATATAATAAAGACATCTTAATCTAAGGAGTGCCAGGGTTTGAGGGGATTTCTTTCTCTCTTACTTTTTCTCTGCTGATTTTCCCCTCTTGACATAAAAGAGCACAACAACATCTCCCCTTTGTCACACAGCGCACGCCAACAACTGTCTTTCCAGAACCTGCACTTTGGTTGAGCATTTTACGGAACATCAAACGGTTTGTCGTGCAGTCGCCTAATTGAATCCCCTTTGAAAAGTAAAACTGCCCTGTCTTTTTGTCTTGTGCTTTCTTTCCTTCTTATTTGGAGAAAGCCTCTTTCAAATGTGCCCAGACAAAACTATTGACTCATGAACAAAGCGGCACCAAATCACCCCCTTCTGTTTGTCATAACTGCTATTCAAATGAACCAATCTGGCAACGGTCGGACAATTTTGCTTTTGCAGTGCAGGAGTGGGGATGACGTCACTCGCCGTTCCTGTTCCTGAACGTGTCAATAGTGATTTCAGATGCGCAAAATGAGTCATTGGAGCTGCATATGCATCCCACGCAGACAGAATGTAAGGAATGCTTGTTGAGAGGCACGGGGGTTATAATGACAACCTGCAAGGAACTTTAATTGGATCTATGCGTCATGACCCTGACATTGTTGCCATTTGTTGCCGTGTCTAGGCCCACCTCTGAGCACAGACGGCATCTAGCAGGCTGCTTTAAAGTATCTCAGCAGGAAAGTATCTGAATCACATCTGGTTTCAGTGATCAGAATCAACCTTAAGATGTTTTTATGGCTATTGTTTCAGTCTATTTTTCTGTATTATCATTTACCTCCCACCTCCCTTCTCTTTGTGCTTTCCCTCTCTGACCCCGGCCCCAGCTTGCAGACTAAGGGGTCCGGGATTTACGATCATGGGTCCGACACTTATCCCGAGTCCTATCCGCAGAGGGTTTCACTATACCTTAAGCTCTCTCTTTGTTCTTTCCCTGAGCTCTCCGAGCACTCCCTTCAAGACCTTGTTCTCTGCCACTGTAATTCTCTCTTCTTAATGTTTTTAATGTTCATCCCTCGCCACCCCGGCGGCCTTTTCATCTTTCCATTTACATGCTTTCGGGCCTCTTTCCCCTCCTCTCCGCTTCAACATACTTGAAAACAGACGCTGCTTCCTTGATAGAAATATAGCCCAGGTTTGATTTAAAAGGCTCCCACCTTCCATAAATAACTTTTTTTTTTTTTTTTTTTAAATCTTGCATCCTTGTTTCATATCACTTGTAGTAAATGTCTTCATTTAAGTTTAGTGTTAAAATCTAATCAAGAATACACCAAGGAAGACGGACTTGAAGTAAAAAAATAAATAAAAAAAACAAACACAGGTAGACCTAAAGAAAAGACAAAAAGGGATAGAAGCAGGAAGCAGTGTGAAAGTGACAACAATGAGACCATTGATCCTTGCTTGTCTCTCCGGCTCTCTGTCTGGGAATTGGCAGTGTTCCCAGAATTCCTCTCCAGGACCGGGACACCCTCAGATTCCTGCGATGAT